GCTTTTGCCTTACACCGAGAAGATCATCAGTTTGATGCCTGGTTAAAACCGATGATGTCATTATATATGGGGTTTCTTCCTATAACATTATTATTGTTATTATTATTATATTTTAATTAAGTCAACTAAGTCAACCCTAGGTCAGATGAACATCCACCAATGTTCTTGTACCAATGTTCTTTCTTCTGCTGGTCCCAGTGCAGAGGCATTACTGTACGGAGTATAGGACACATCATGTATGATGTACAGCACTGCATACATTCCAGCATCCTGACAGTCTATCTGGGCTGGACCTAGTCTGAATATGATTGGTTGGTCTACATCAGCAGAGCCTCCCTCAGCCTGTCATCACAAACACACACAGTCACAGCACAGCGTCATCGCACCACATGTCAGCAAACCGCTGACTCCTCAGTGTGTGTCACATGGCCAGGTGCTCTGAACAGTGAACAGCTCTGATTCCCTGTGTAATTGAAGGGGAGGTTATGATAAAAAAAAGATGAGCGGCTCCACGTGGTCAGAGAGAAGAAGGAAAACCAGGACAAGCACTGATTACATGAAACACACCGGGACATTTGTCATAATCATCCTTTTTTTTCACCTAATCTACCTTAGGTCAGCACTTCTCAAATAGTGGGTCGGGACCCCATGGGGGGCACAGTGGGGATGGGGGGAGAGGGGGCATGAAGGACGTAGGTGTATCACTACTGTAATGCATGATTGATAACAAGCCTCCAGCCACTAGGGCGTGAAAATATTTCTGTCCCCAAGAAATTTTTCTCAGAAAATAATTGGGAACCACTGAGTTAAGTTAATCAGATGGTAATGCTAACTTTTTATTTTATTTTTCCCAGACTTTTTCTCGTTCCTGACTCATCCATTTGGCTCCTCTCCGTGGAGTTAATGTGGGAAAACGTTAACGACCCGGGAATAACGTCCGCAGCTGATTCCAGCCCTGTTTCCGTGCTTCTTTTACTGGAATGTTCCCACAGTATTTCAGCTCCAAAATGTCAACCTCCAATGACAGAAAATGTATTTATAGACACCAAAACAGACTTTTACTGGTGAGTTTACAGACTGACATACTGTACAGTCAAAATTCTTAGCACGGATCAGTATGAGAGCGAAGTCTGCTGTTAAATTATTATATTTTTAATTATTAAATTGTCAATTTTAACAAAAGAAAACCCATCAACAATGGCTTTTGAATAACACATTGTGTCATTGTGTCAAACTGAAGTGTTCTACGTGTTAGTAGTTGCAACATCTGGTGTTTGGTGTTCCTCGTAAATACTAGTACTTTACTACTTTATCATCAAGCAACATGTGACACTGCAATCTGTCAACTACATCCACAGATTAGTACAGACCTTTGTCTGTACCAGGGCTGTTGTAGCCGCTAACCATGCTAACAAGTCGCAACCATGCTAACAAACCTGCTATCAGGTGGTTGAAAACAATTTTCTGCCCAACAAAGCTAAGTATTTTGTATATCTTCTTTGCAGCTAGCAAACCAATTATTAAACCAAATCAACATATTAAAGGCCCAGTGCTACTAATTACATGAAGTACACAGTGCAGGTGTTACAGTTTTGACTGTTGCTAATTTACTGCCATGTCGATGATCTGTGATGAAAGATGATCTCATTTGTTCACTGAACAGTAACAACAACAATGTTTCTGTCACTGCCGACCGTATCAACACGAACCGTTTGGTCTTTGCTGTTGTTCCTGTCAACATGTCTTCTCTCTTACACTCTGTCACAACAACAACGCCATTATACACTGTCAAGACGACACTGTCCTACTGCTGTATCAGGGAATTCAAAATAAAAAGAAGGTTTTTCCCTCATGCATCTGTCTCTATCCAACCACCTCGTGTTTCCATCAGAGAGTTCCTTCTTTGAAGAATTCTGGGAGATGAATGCCACGTCACATTTTTGTTTGGTTGTTTTTTTTTGTTTGTATTTCTAAGAACTCAAATAGAATTTAAAAAGATTTTCTAGCTCAAATCTGGTTAAAAAAAGATTTAGATGTTTTCATTCAATTTCTGTACAAAATTGTATATTTTTATCTGTAGTTTTATTCATTTTTGAAGGTGTAAAGATAAATGATGTCACAGCTCAAGGCTGGACATAGAAATAAGAGTCGAACTTGTCAAAAGCTGTTACAGACACGACACAGACATGTCTGGACATGTTTGAGTGATTCAAAACAACAGACCTTTTTTCGAATTTCCTCTCAAATATTTGCCCAGAGCAGAGTACCCTACTCACATTCGTTGTTGGAGTAGTGACTAACTAATAACTCAGATTATCCTTAAAGCGTGGCGACTCCCACAGCCTCATCACGGCACGCAGTTTCACACCAAGCCCTGGAAACTGAAACTCAAACGCCTGCTTTAATTCTCATGAGGATAAACGACCATTACAGAAGACAAGTCTTTACACGAAGATTGAATGTGAAGCACTCAGAAGAAGAAGATGAAGATGATGAAGAAGAAGAAGTAGAAGTGGGCGGGGAAACAGAGGATAAAAGCATTTAACAGAAAATTATAGATGCCACGAAAAACACCACATCAAAACGGAATCACTGAAAGAACCCACAAAGATGTCAAAGTCTACAAAGGAAGATCTGGGCCGCGGGCCATGAATTCCAACGTAGCCTTTCAGTTTCTGTGATCTGGACGAAGGGCAAATAATAATTAGCATCAACCCACGCTGAACAGAAGAATGACTTCACATCCTTTCCATATTTCTCTGCAAACCAAGTACCTGTAACCTATTAGCAGACGTATTACATGCTCCATATGCTGCCAAAAATAGAGCTAATGAAACCAACTCCTAATCCCCCTGAGAGGATTGCGAGGAACGTTGTCTAAATCCGTCAGGTGGTCTTATATAAAAAAAGAGAAAAAATCCCTTTTTTTCCAGGATCCGGTCTGTGCTGTGCTGATTGTCTGCCATAAACACTTGTTTTTCAGGTGTGCTGATTGTCTGCCATAAACACTTGCATGTGCTTCAGGAAACCAGAAGGTTTCTGAGCAGTTTCATTCATATGCAGGAATCTGAACTGACTTTGTTGAAGAGCAACGTTGTCTCTGCTGTCGTTCTCCATAATCCACTACTGACAAACAAAAACGAAACCAAGAGAGGAAACATGGATAAGATGAGAGAAGGCGACAGAATTGTCAACTCTGGTTTGAATCCCAGCAGATAATACCATCAGTGAGTGCTACTTCTACATGAGACATGAGAGGACATGCTCCTTTAATTGTTAATCTCATGACTGGGAGTGCTTTCATCCCAAACAGCCGCTGTGTTTGTCCCTCTGACTGTGAGCCGTGCCTCTCCTTTTGCTGCCTGTAATGGAACCCAGCGGGGGTCCAGTCGGGCTGTGGAGCAGCGGCAGTGTTTTTCTAACGCTCTGTCAACTCCTTGATGAACGGGAGCAGGAGCAGACCAGGGGGTAGCAGCAGAAAATCGTGGAGTTGGGTTAGCATCCGCTTCCCCACAGCAGAGAGCCTCTGAGCAAGACTGACTACTGGTAGAATAATAATAATAATAATAAAAAGGCACAGCTTTGTTTTGTTTTTGTTTTTTTGTCTTTTCTTTTCTTGCATTGATTCATAATTATAATTTGAAAACGTTATTATATATGGACGATATTAGGGTTTTTATTAAGTCCAACATTGTGGGCCATATATTTACTTTGCTACAAGTTTCACAAACTCATTTTCACATCAGCAATACAGTTCCCCTTAAAGGGCCGGCTGTAACTGTAACTAACGCTGTAACTACTCCATAAAGTATTAATACATGTTTCTAAAATCAATTATTATTTATTCAAATTACAAATATTTTACATTGCTCTGTTATAAAAAAAAAGTTAAAAAAAATGAACATGAACTCTATTAAACCCTTTTCAAGCTCCTGCGGGGCACGCAATATGAGTACATTTTATATAGGATTACATCTGTATATATACAATGACCAATAAAGGTGATTTTTCAAAAAAAAAACGTACAATGACCAATAAAGGTGATTTTTTAAAAAAAAAAACAAAAAACAATTGTCTAAATAACTGGACCCAATCTAAAGAAGAAGAATGTAATTTAAAACACATGGTTATTTGAATTTTACCGTACCTTTTTAAACTTACAGAACACAAATGATTCCTAAAAATTGACCTTTTTCCGTTTAAAGTTGTTATTTCCTAATGTCTCTAGTGATTTATAAGCAGAGAAAGTCCAATGTGTACACCACCTTACCCAAGAATTGTGCTTTTGAATTGACCGAGACACTGGGGTTTCTGACTGACTGCGGTACTAACTTGCAAATTGTACAATTTCCCCTTTTTTTTGGCCATTTCCCTTTCTTGACATAAAATTGTGCTTCTGCAAAAGTTTGACCATTTTATGATATAAATTATTTCACAACTAACTGCAATGTTTGTAATATGCAGACTTGATGTTGAAAATGATTCGGCCAACGGTGGAAATGTAAGACCAAAGATAAGCCAAAGTACAGGTTTTTCTTCTTCTTTAAATACACATTAAAACAGATTAGAGAGATGTCTAATAATATCGGTCGACCGATATTAAGCGGGGGCGTGAAAAAACGTCTGTCCCCTAGAGGGGGCATGGTAGAAAGTAATTGCGAAACTACCAGGCCACCATTGCCCAGCTATATCGGTATCGGTTGATATCGGAATCAGAAATTAAGCGTTTGGACAATATTGGCATATTGGATACCAGCAGAAAGTTAATATCGGACATAACAAAAATAAGTCCAACACGTTATCAAAGACTGGTGCACGGATGTCCAAGTCAAAAATGTACACATTCAGCGTTTTATACATATATACAAAAAAAAAAAACCCCAAATGGTCCTTGCTCCACCCTTCTATCAGCTTTAGAGGTGTACGGCCTGAAACACCATGAACATCCCCGAACTACACCCTACTTGGTTTCGTTTCCTGCAGGTCAGCCCACCTGCTGCAGCTGGGTGGTGGCATTTTAAAATCACAAATAAAATCATGAAACTCTTCTCACCACAGCCTCACTGAGCGCAGCCCTGCACCGTGCAGACTGTATGGAGGGTGAGGAGCTCCTCCCACCTCCTTGAGCTCCGCTCCCCCAACGCATGCTGCAGAGGAGTCGTGAGCTCCGCCTCAGCACTCCACCTCTGCACAGAGCAGCAGCAGCAGCAGCAGCAGACACGGCCCGCTGCAGTAACTACACTGCTCTCCAGACAGACGGATTTACTTGTGGGAATCAGGACGGAAGTCTGAAACCATTCTCTCTTTTTTTTTGGACCGGCTGCTAATTTTTCTCTCTCAAAGGAAACCATTTGTGTTGCCAGGGAAGAAAAAGTCCCAGCAGGTGAGCAGTCAGTCATTCTAGTCAGTAACCTTGGCCACTTTATCACTGCTCCCACTCTGAGCTGTGTTTTTCTCCCTCCGTGCACCTGTTTTATCGCCTCACTGCTTTACACTCGAACAACTTACTGTTGTTGTCAAATATTTACATCTGTGTCGCCGCCGGCGCTGAACTGCCGTTTTTAACGGATTGTTGTCCAGCGGACTGAGGGACGTTGACTGCTACGACACAGCGACTCTCCTGTTGTAACGATTCACTTTAATTGTGTGATTCACGCGTTTTTGATTCCATTCACACTCACACGAGCAGATACTGACGGCTTTATTCACGTATTGTGACGGATCTACCCTGACACGTGGGGGCATTTCTTCAATACGATTTAAGTAAGAATCGGTAAAACGATTAATTTTAATTAAAAAATGGAAAGGTAACTTTTTGGTCAATAAGAAAACATTGTGTCCCCGCATTAAATGAACAGGCTGTCTGAGTAAAGTGTGTGTGTGTGTGTGTGTGTGGCCAGTGTTTGTACTGAAAGAATTTGTATTCACTGTATGTGTGTCAGTACACGCGTATTAAAGCCTCACCTGGACTAGTATGGGTTATGAATTCAGACAAAGTGTGCAACCTCGTGTCTACTGCCCACATAAAAATGAAGATCCATTTAATATCATAGTAACGCATGTACCGCATAGTACGATGCATTTTGGGTAGAACTTCCGTTTCAGGTCTGAAAAATCAGTACTGGCTCACGTATACATATAAATACATGTTCTACTTACTCTAATACGAATTAGAAATAGCAGTGTGTACCAGAGTAGTATTGAGGTTGTTGAGTTAAGATGAAATGTAAATATAAATACTCTCAATATAAAAAGCAGTAGCAGCAAAAATTTTAAAAAATATCGTTTTGTATATGAATTTATCAGAAAGGAAAAAATACAAGTACTTCATTCTACACAAATATACTTTTAACTGTAGTACAGTACAAGACCAAGCAGCAAAAAATACAGTTTAATATATTGATTAAGCAGCCAGAAATACATATATTACACTATACTGGAGTACAGTAGATACTGTAGTAGTACAGTATCTAGTACAGTATCTGTAGTAGACAGTCATGGCAGTATGGTTTTAAATACATTAACCTCCTTCTCTATCCTGTAGGTGGTGCTAATAATGCCCTTTATTATTATATGGGCTGTAAAAACACCTTGTTCCCCAAACTTAAATGAAAGTTCATGTTATTTTACCATTTGAAAATGGTCAAATGGTAAAATAACATGAACTTCCTCTTTCCTCTATCATCCCACCAGACAACAAAGAGTTGTGTTTTTACTAACATTGATCCAAGCTTCCTCCGAGGATCAGCTAGACTAATCCAAGCTACGCTACATGTTCGCTACCTCTTTGGCATCTGCTGAGCTACATTACTGCCACCTAGTGTGTCTATTCCCCACTGGTGTGTATTTAAACCCAATTATTAGCAAAAATGAAATACAGAAGGTAGCACCCCCGCTGTTAAAAGTACCCTGGTGTACTTCCGAAGAGCTATTAAAAATGACTCCAGGGAACTACTTAAAATGTACTTTCTTTAAATCCTGCAGCCTGTTATTTTTATGACTTGTGTGTGTCGTGTCGTGTTATGTTAAAATGTAAATGGTAAGTTGTTGTTTGTTATGGCAGGGTGATTTATAGAACAGTACTGTGTAGATGTTTGCAGTGATCTGTGTAACTGTAACTCTAGAATAATAGCCATCACATGACCTGGGGTTCAGGGAAGCTGACCCACTTGTGGAGTGAGAGCTGTGTGTTTTTGCTGTGGACGGAACAAGGAAGGGAAGGGTGGTGGGTGGTAAAGGGTGGGGGGTGAGGAGGAGGAGGGCAGTGGGGGGCACACATGTGTTTTCTGGTGGTGGCGGTTGGCTGCATGTGCCTGTAGAAAGATGAAGACAAAGTGGAGTTTTAGCAGCTGTTAGATATTTGACCACACTGCTCCTCTTGTCTGATGAACCAAAGGCACATTCCCGCTGCCAAAACAAGTACCAGGAACATCCGGGCAGCGCTACAGTCAGTGGCTAAGGCTACTGGGTTTATGTTTAAAAATCTGTTTCCCATTGAAGATAATCTTCAGCCACAACATTGTTTGGTCTTTGTATTTTTTTTTAGTCGCCAACCATACTGAACTAGCTCAAAATGCTAGTCACGTCAATACTAGCCTGTTGGGTTTTAAATGATAGGATTTGGTCACTAGACATTTCGACAGGTGAGTGACTTTACTTTAGGCCTCACAAGGCCTGGAGTGGTAGCAAACAAGTTTACACCAGTGCTTTCCTCTTTTTTGATAATCACAAAGTCAGCAAAACTGTTGAGAGTATCATCAACATATCATTACACAACATTTCTGCTCAATCTTGCGTTATTGTTGTTATAAAAGGACTTGAAGGCACTTCTGTATTTGACAGAGCAAAGTTCTAACCATCTTCAAAAACAGCTATTGTATGGAAGGACTATATTATCCCTCAAAGGTATTCCAGGTTTATACGGTTTCTGGTACTTTTAGGTAAAAACCTGGCTAAATTCTGAGCCCTCCAGTCTACCATCGCACTCCTTCACAGACTGTTAGCTTAAGGCATGACTTTCTGTGATTGTAAGTCACAGTTTCAGCTTTAATTCTTCACTACATTTCCCTCACAAATTGTATTCCTGGGTGTGTTTTGTTAGCCATCCTGTCTAATGATTTAGTACGCACTTTTGGCTTTGTCAGTTAACATCCTCTTGTGCACAAACTCTGCACTTGTCAGACAGTTTGTTTACCGAAGACTCGTCCTGAGGTGTTTGGTTTGCCTGAACTTCTGCTGTTTATGTTTTTTAAAGAGACAGTGAGAAAAATCGGACCGTGAGCTTGAGAAGGTGTGGGGAATGTAGACCGCAGGGTCTACCTCTGTTCAAACAAGTAGGGCTGGACATGTCAACTAAATCAGAAAGCAGTAACCATGTATACTTATTAAACAGTTTTGTACGGTTTAATTATCCGAAAACCCCAAGGTTATTCCCTCGATTGACAGATAACTCTGTTAGGTGTATAATCGTTGTTTCTGATCAGACTCTATTACTTGACTCATGCACAAGATCACTGAAAATGTTAAGCAAGGCTGAGCTTCCTTTGTTGTCACAGGAATGGTTAAACAAACAGACAACTACTGGGTGCTTTCCTGCCCAAACTGAGTCAGACAGAACAAAGAAATATGTAAACATGCATTATCTCCACCGACAGGAAACGTCTTCATTCTTATAGGATTAGTGAAGGGCAAGGTTGTTACAGTGTCAAACAGTGTCTTTTTTTTTTTTTTTTTTTTGGCAACGCATGAAAAAGCTGCAGAAATTAGATTGTTTTGATCGAGTTAATTTCTGGCGTAATCTTCATTCTGCGTTGAGATATTTTATAGTTTATATCCTGAGAGTCATTTGGATTATCAAAGGGGATTCATTGTCGCCACCTGCTTCATTATTTCTGTCCTAAGATAATGAGTCTCGATAGTGATCTAATGCGGCTGTGTGTCATTGCAGCACCTTGTTGAGAAGCAATTAAAGCTGTGTAAAGAACATAAAGAGCGACACCCAGATGCAAGGAAACAAACGATCCTCGCTCTGAAATGTTGTTGGTCTTCTCACCACCAGTCCGGTCAAACAGGAGACAAAAAAAAGAGAGGTGTCTGTGTTTCTGTTTGTTTGGGGGAGAAGGACGACACACATGTTGTGCGTGTGTGTGTGTGTGTGTGTGTGTGTGTGTGTAAGGGGGAAGGGAGGTTGTCGTTGGTGTGAGATTCACCCTGGTGAGACTGAAGACATTCCTAACATTCCGACCTCCAGGATGCTTGAGGCTACTCTGTCTTCTTTCAGTGTAAGTTGGGGGGGGGGGGGGGGGGGGGGGGCAGTGGACTCTGAAGGGCTTTTATGTCACTGGGCTCACACCGGCAGACCCTTTGCTTGAACAGAAACTGCATACCCTCTAATTTAAGAGGCCATGGGAACAAGTAGCACTCCACACACCGGCTCTTCTCAAGTTACCCCCGCAGATGACTCTTAAATAGGTTTTCTATAATCTTGGAGACACTTGTCAGCTTGGACTTGGGGCTGGTGTTTAATAACAAAGTCAGCAGTCTGAATATGACGGAATCACCTTTTGGCTCAACTTGGGAATATGAGCCCATTCTAAAAAAAAAAACCTAATAAAGTGCAATAACTTGTGTAAGCAAATTATTTTTTGTAAACTAAAAATGTCCTTTTCTTTTTTCATTTCCATTGTTCCCTATGACCCCCACCGTCCGATGCTTCAACCCTCCGTGGCCCAGCCATGAGAGTTCATCCTGCGTCTGACAGGTCCTTCCACAACTGCTTCTGACCAAACCGGGTTTTAGCAAACCAAAGATGTCAGCCTGCAGCGACTTTGCAGAACACGTGTGGAAACCCGGCTCTTGTAAGAACTGCTTCCACCCGTTGAGTGCACACAAGGCTGTCAGAAGTCTGGATGGCAGTGCTCCTGTCGCTTGCTTAAAGAGCAACGTGGGAGGCGATGAAGAAGCTGGTGTAACGACTCCGTCGCCCTACAGCAAACCAACCATCGCTGTCAAACCAACTATGATGAGCCTTGACACCAACGAGTCGACTGATGTTAACATGAACATAGATCAGGTATTTATTTTTTTCCTCTATCAAACTTTGTACTTTTTTTGTTTCGATTTGCATGATTTGACATTTGTCTGTGTTTGTTTGTGACAGGAGAACACAAAGAACCCTGTTGAACATTTGGGCCTGATGAAACTGTTGGACCTTTCCTCTCTTTATATTGACAGTAATGGATGCAATAAGGTCCACAAGGAGGCTGTCCTCAACAGCCCGGAATCAAACTGTAACAAATCGTTTTCTTTTACTCATTTGTCTCCTAACATTGTGCCCAAAGACTCCATGATCATTGGTAATATCTTTGTCACCCAAGAAGAAGGCAGGGGGTCTCAGAGTTTCAAGAACAATACCAATGGAGATAACCAAAGGCAGCAGAAAAGTATGACTGCTATTAAAACCAAGAGCACTTACAATGGAAGTAGTGTGACTACGAAGACAAATTATCAAGACGCTCATCAGACATCTGTGGACGTACCAGCGTCTGTAAAAAGTGTTCCTTCCAGCCCTGTCAATGTTCATAGTAATGGTACAAAGAATGGTGGTACTGCTGCTGTAAACACTAAAACTCCCAGCACTTTTACCACCTTCCCTAAAACAACTCTGAGTTTGGACACAACTCGAAACAGTCCTCTAACAGCCGTTCAGTCCGTCCCCAGCCTGTCACAACAGACCAGCCTCTCAGACTCCTCTTGTTCTTATCGTAGTAGTAGCACAGACTCGCTGCCCGGGGCCGAAGGACCTGGAGAAGGACATGTCAGGTCATTGAGTCCCCAAAGTCCCCCCGCCATGGGGAGCCCACGATCTGCTCCAACTTCTCCAAATGGACAGACAGACTCAGAACCCATATATGCTGAGAGCACAAAGAAAAAGCGCAGGACACAAGTGAATGGACTTCAGTCCAACCCCGAGTCCCCAAACCGGACTAAGAATTTGTCCTGCTCGGAGCCTGAACTCTCAGCAGAGAGCCACCGTGCCACCATCACTGTAATGGCTGCTCACACGGAGGAGAACAACAGGACGTTCTACCTGAGCAGCCCAGATTCAGCCGTCAGCACCCAGTGCCATTTTAGCCCCACGGCACACAAAGACCCCAGCAGCCCAGCCTTCCGCTGGCCTAGTCCCAGCCGCAGTGCACCGTCTCTGACCACAGACGCCATCCTCACCTCAACACTCCACCCTAAGCCACAGTCTAGTCCCCCAATTCCACCAAAGAGGAACACCCGCTCACCCAAACTTGGCACCTCCAGCCTGACGACGTCCATGTCTTCCCCTGTTCCTCTTCCTGAACTCCCCAGACTGGGCGCCTCCAGCCTCACACAGTCCATTTCGTCTCCGGTCCCTCTGCCTGAGCTCCCTATGCTTTTCCTTGTCTCCGCGGCCCAAGGCCACTTCAAGGTCCACACGGAGCACCACGGGCTGTCAACTGATCGCTGGCAAAAGCCAAACCATCACAGTTCAGGCTGGAACTGCCGCATCGAGGAGGAAGAGGAGGAAGACGAGAGGGAGCGGAAAGAGGATGAGGCAAAGTCCGCTAATCCAGGAACAACTTCCAGGGTGGCAGGTCTGGTCAATGGTGCTGCTGTCTGGAAGGAGGCCAAGGACAACAAGGCCCCCAGCAGCCTCTCTCCAATGACAGAGCCAGGCACGGCCCCCCCTACTGCCCGCAACAATGGTGCCTGTCAGGGGGAAACTGAAGGCATCAGGGCGAAGGAAGGAGGCAAGCAGAACGGCATCATGCCAGCCAAGCAACCACTGCACGGTGGCACATCAGAGCTGCTGACTCCAGGAAAAGGAACTGGACCCAACCCACCTCCGCCCCCACCAAAGAAACTGCACAGGTAAGAATGACGCACTTCTTATTCACGGTCCCCTCAGAATCTCTGAAACGATGATTATAAATGACATATTGTACTGTATAGATATAAATTATTCATCATTGATGGTTGGCACGGTTAACCAATGTAGAATTAAGAAAAATGTACAGAGGCTAGTGAGTGATCCTGGGTTTATCTTTGCTGATTTCATTGTCAGTACTGCCACTTTAAACACATTTAAATTTCCATTATACTGTAAAGATGATGTCATTATAAAACACTGAGTCACAAAGAAACTCTCTGACTTCATGTAATATTCTTCATACTATACATTTAGTGGCGCTTTGGCCCAGAGGCAATGTCTCTGTCATTGGTGTGGACCCTCAGGGTTCACCTGCTGGGCAGGTTCGAATCCCGTTTAGGCCTTCCAGTGGACTCACCACCCACAGGAAGGTGTAGGGGGTTGGTATGGAGCAATGTGATTTGGGTGGCGACTGCTGCCCCCGCGACCCGGTAACGAATAAGCAGATGAAAATGGATGGATGAAAGGATGGATGGATGGATGGATGGATTATACATTTATCCTCAAACTGTCGACGCTGTCAGCAGAGAACAGGGAGAACAGCAGTGATCGTGATGGAGAGTCGGGTCTTAAATACCTCTCACGATGAGGCATCTATTAAAAAAAATCTAAGGCTGGTGGAGGTTTAATTACACACATTCATGCCACGCACTCGCTGTAGCATGAATGTGCTGCATCTATCAAACTTGAACTCTCCATTAAAGCCAATAGGATATTTGCGTGCCTGTCAAAAGGCTTTCCACCTTTTCCTTCCATTAAAATGAATAGGTCTGCACTTTCAGTCATGACACCGTGGTTTCATAATACATTATTGAGCAGCCAGCTACTGTAAGAGCCGTTCCCTCACCTTCATGGGATCTATTTATATCTATATATATGTACGTATGTATTTATATCTGGACGTATGCAATGCATAATAAGAGCAAAGCGGGGGTTTTTTTCCGTGTCTGCTGTAAAAGCCCACAGTGGATGCAGCAGTGCACACACGTGCAGCTTACTGCAGAGATTTGTGTGGTTTCCTAACGTTCCGTCTCCTTTCACAGCGTCATTATTCTGCCTTGAATCAGTCTCCATTCTCTCGGCCTGCGATCATTCAAACACTCGACGTGTTCCTTAATGCAGGCCTTGTTCCATTCACGCGTCTAATGGGACTTTTTCAGTTCTAATTAACACACAAACCGAGTCTGTTATTCTGTCACATTACTGTCCATTTGTAATGACTGCAGTACAACAGTTGGACTGTGAGAGAAAAAGGCAGCGTTTCATTTATTTACGTCAGGGACGTCAAACTGATTTGGGTTCAGGGGTCACATACAGCCTGATCAGATCAAGTCAAGTGGGCCAGACCAGTACAATCATAACATAATTATCTATAAATAACAATAAGTCCAAGTTTTTCCCCTTTGTTGTCATGCAGATAAATACAAGTATATTAGAAAATATTCATATTCATTGAAATATCGTTTAAAAAAAACGTCATGGACATGAAGAGTTTGTGCATTACTCTCAAAATTCATCAAGTGGGCCGGATTGAACCCCCTAGCGAGCCGATTTTGGCCCCAGGGCCATATGTTTGACTGCCATGACATATCTGAATCTGATTCCTCAGATATTATATGAATCATTTGGTGATTTTTTATCGTTTTTTTTTCTTCTTCTTTTACATCTGGACTGTTGATGTTACCGAGCTCTACTTTCAGGATTTACAAACAATCTTCTTCAAATGCACGGCCAAAGATTTATAATCCATGCCGTCACCTCGACAACCTGCTGCATGACAGCGAGTTACCTTCGTTCAGTGTTGCACCTTTGTGACCTACTCTACATAAGGTTCCCAGCCTACGTAGCCTACATTTAGTATGGGCAGCATTTGCACACACGTTTTAACCTGAGTCTGCAGGAGGCCAAGAATACACGCACTAACTGAGTCAGCCGCTCGAAGTAGAAACAGAGAAGCGGCCCTGGTGTTGCTGTTATTAGAGCATCAAATGATCAACTCAGAATAATCTTTGCTTTGTCCGGTAAAGCGTGATGAGGCTTTACACATGACTGCGACTTCCTTCAGACAGACAGATGTTCTTTCAGCATCAACTCGTCGAGTCAGCAAAAGCCAAGTAGCCTTGTTTTTTTGGGTTTTTTTTTTTTTTACGATTGTAAAAACAGATTGTGCTGATCACATTTCAGCAGCCCTTATGTTTATGCCAAACGTAGTGAGGACCTGATCTCTCCTGTTATGACATTGCCGACATTCTGTGCCGATAAAAATACACCTTGTTGAGGCACACGTGGGAACGCGCCTCGGGCCGGTCGGCGACAGTTGTGGCTTTCCGATGTTCCAAGTTTATCAGCGGTTAAGGCATTAAATCAACAAGTGATCCTGACACCAGGCCTGAGCTGGAAAACCCAATATAATTATTGTCTGCATGGCAACCACAACTTCATAATTAAATGAATTGATGGGAGAAACCTTTCCTTTGTGTGGAGTGAATGGACCGCAGCCCATACCTACCCACCTGTCTAGATGTGCTGACTCATTGAAAGGACACAGGTCTGTCAGGTGTCTGGAGCAGCTTTTGTCATTACATCTTCAAAAACATTCGCAAGGAACTTATTTTCAGTCCTTTATACGGAAGCAGTGAATCAGTGACGCCCCAGTGTTTTTCACTGTCTGAATAAAAAGCTTTGCTAAAGTTAGCATGGAAATACAAATGCAAAACCAAAGTGCCGGACCGTCTGATTGGACCACTGTTCTTGTGCCAGCTCAGGATAAGAGTGAATATTTTTAATATTAGATATATATTTGAGTAATATAGATTTGAGTGTAAGTGAGTATGTTTTGTACAAATCAGTACATACATGTTGTAATTGGATATTTATACATTACCAGTACTTCATATTTCAACAGTTAGAGATACTGTGTGTATTCTAGTACTACTAAAGTCTGGTTTAAGTATTTAGATGAAATTGTAAAGTCTTAATGAAAGAAAAATGTTTTTTGTGAGGAGTGTATTTTGCCTTTACTTTGATGCAAGGGCATCAAAGTATTTCTGATACAAAGCTGTGATGCCCATGTGTACTGGATGTTTTATTTTTTCTTCTTAAAAAAAGTACTATTGAAGTATCAGTGTCGCTGTGAAGACAAACTTGTTGTGTGTGTGTGTGTGTGTGTCACATGTGTGAAAGTCCTACTTAATAAGGAAGGCGTGACAATTTGGCAGCAAAGATTGCCAAAGGGAGGAGCGGTACAACAGATTGTTGCCCCCGGCGACTCCCAAACTGTCCTCGTCTGGCAGTCGGTTGCTACCAGTAGAAGTACAATTTATAGATCAGCCATGTGGATCCAATTCCATTGAGTCAGTCTGGGTGGAAACTGACTTTTTTCCTTCCTTTTCTCTCTAATATACTGTTCCGAGACATCCATTCGCCCCTCCCTCCACGCAGTCGTTCTGTGTAGACCTCACAGCATCTCGTTGCCTCCTGACAGACCTGAGGCTGCTCTGACGTGAACCGCCAGGTCAACCAGTGATTGCTACTTAGGAGGTGTGGGTGCTTTCATTCTGTCTGTGCCCACCAGCCTGACGAGGACCCCTGCCTGTCCAGCATGAGGTAGGCACCACCTGATGGCAACCTTTCAGAGCAACTTTTGACAGAATATTAAATAGATTGATCAAATAACAAAAAAATTGGAGTTAGGGTTCGGGTGAACTTCAGAGCGACTGTATCGAGTATCGTCTTAGGTCAAATGAAGGTTTTTCTCTACCAGCCGATATATCGCGGTTATTCGTCATCTGATTGACTTTTTAAGGATTTCTTTTCTTACTTTTCTAGCATGTGCTACCGTACTAAACCTCTGAGCCCCGAGTGAAAAAGTCTCCTTGTTTGCAGACATTGATGTAGTGCAACCCTAATACTTAACATAACACAGTGGTTCTGTTCTTAGTATTTTATCGTACCATGAAGCCCACGCGTGGTATTTTATAACTAGATATAAAACACAAATTCTTTAATTTGTGGTGCTACGTTTTTTTTGTTTTTTTTTTAAACCTGCAGGTTAAAGGTAATTTTAATAACATTTAAATAGGAGTCTTTTTTTTATCCAGCTTTAATTCTGTCCTTCCTTATTATAAAGAGAATAGCTCGTAGGATTATTTGATCATTTATTTGATTACCTGTTTCCAAGGTGATATAGATTTAGAATTAAAAAAAAAACAAGTTTGATGTTTAGAAAAAAAACTGTCCTAAATTCAGATTAGATATTAACAGATGTATGTAGATTTGCCCTGCTGCTACTGTGGCAGTCCCAGCTGATTCCACTACATTATCAAACAAACCCTGCTCAGCTCCTCTGACACAGCTTTATTAATACCACCCTCATGGTCGGGATCATCAACTTGATCCTCTGCGCCCCCTACTTTTTGTTTGTTTACATTCTGTTTCTGTGTCACTGTTGTTGCCGGGGCTGATTGCAGAACACAACCCTGTCTTAGGGTGGGGGGTGGGGGGGCCGGGGGGGCACCGTGCATGAAGGAGGACTGCAACGGTTGACGTAGCCTTTGTCTCAGCAACGGAAATGTTTGGTCTTAGGATGCAGGCGTGTAAAAATGCCTTTTGTTAGAGCACGAATGGTAAACTTTGTGTTTTAGATACAAACTGCTAGAAAGTGTCAGGAGTCCGTGCAGGATTTTAGCTAAATCACAAATTGTAGAAAATAAAAAAAACAAGAGGCAGAATAAGTCCAGTCAGTACCAAATGTCCAGGAATAAGTGTGGATTTGGTTCAACTTGAACTGATTGGACTCAAATGTGCTTGAATTTGATTTGTCCCTTTAAATCAGGGGCAAAAAGTGTTCCATTACTGTAGCAAGGTGACGGTTTTTCAACTTCAACTGCTGTGACGGGGCAAAAAGTGTTCCATTACTGTAGCGAGGTGACGGTTTTTCAACTTCAACTGCACACAACCAAATGTGACCTCTGTTTTTAACCCATCACCAAAGTGAACAGTGGGCAGCTGGAAGCGCCGGGGGAGCAGTGTGTGGGGACGCTGCCATGCTCAGAGCACCTCAGTGGTAACTTGTGGACTCAAACCTGAAACCTTCCGGACCCAAGTCCGCTTCCTTAACCACCAAGCCACTACTGCCCCAAGTGCATCTCTGCAGTGCTGAGAACTGCTGCAGAAGAGATAATGAGATTCATCTAAATTGATCTTTTCAACATGCACATTTTCTTCTTTTTAAGTCAATCAATTGATTCCCTTCATCAACAGATACTTTGGATTTTTTAAGATGGAACCCCTCGGGCTCCGTGATTGGCTTTTTTTCCCATTATATTTTGACATTTTATCGACTAAACAATCAATGGTCCGCTCAAAAGAAAAGTGGAATTGATTGATAATCAAACATGTATCACTCGCAGCTGTATCATGTTTCTAATTGAAACGGTTAAACCTACACAGAGAAAAGGTCAGACGTGCACGATATCCATTTACTAAGAAAGAAAAAAAACCTCTCAGTTTTTGAAGACAAATCTCTGAGATGTATAGCAGTGCGACTTCCACAGGTGCGCACATGTTCATAGGCTCATAATCCCCGCAGCCATTATCGTTTCTCCTCTGCCTCAGCATTTCCACTGCCTTTCATCACGCCTCTAAAATGATATCTGATCCCATCCCTCGGTGTCCACGGGGAATGTCTAACCTCTTTTCTCCCTCCTGTCTCCCCCTCAACTGTTTGTTCTGCTGATTTATGGTGGAATTGAAGTCGGGGGCCAGCAGACAAATGGAAAGAGGAGTCGTTTTGTGATGGACGGAGGGAAAGGGAGATGAAGGGATGGGATGAGAACATCTTTCTCAGAGCCATTAGCGGCCATAATGAGACGTGAATGGCTGTCACTCAGCCTAATTGGTCACCTTGATTAGACAGTCCACTCACGCACCACTCTCTCCGTGACCTTTGTGCGTCGCTGGCAAATTGACAGGAGGACCACAGAGACGACGGGATACGACTGAGAGTCAGTTACTGGTTAAACTTTGTTTGACGCCGACAAACACATTAGTCAATCCCACACTTTAGTTTCACTGGGATTAAAGCAGTCGAGTGTGCAAAAGGTTGTTTTTTTTTTTTTTGTCTTCGTCTTTTGTACTTGGCTGAAAAGCCAAATAAGCATTCATTCCCCACGACTATGGTTCCGCAGTTAGTGTCTGTTTGGACTCCAGGGAATTATCAAAAATGTGGGGAAATCCCTCGTGCCGTTATCCTGTGAACGACACACTCACTCACTTGAAGAGAAGAATGACAACAGTGATGCCTGACTTTCTACAGAAAAAAAGAAGAAATTAAGCTGATTAAACTGATTTGGCAAGACTGGTTTGTTTTTGTTGCAATCGTAAGTCATCTCTGAATCACAAGGTGTGAAATTTCTGATAATCCAAACCAACCCACACTGGTTGTTCATCACAGAAAACGCTGCTGCGAATGAGCAGATTAGTTAGGGCGTAGGGATAAAAAGAAAGATTAAAAAACGGTTAAGATATTTCACATGTGGTGAAGTTGACGGTTGAAGCACAAAATGTTAATTCTACAACAATCTTTACACTTTTATTGCTTTGTTATTACCAGCAGGGGTCTCCCCTGTGCAGTACTGGGCCACACCTCCAGGCCGTGATACCAGGCTGCACAGAAAGAATAAAAAGTTACTTTAGCCTGGAAATATATTTTGAAGTGATGTCACTTCTGTCCTTGTCTCTATGTCAATTATGATGTTATAATAACAGAAATGCAAGTGTATGTATTATTTAAATTATATGACTTCATACACACACACACACACACAAACACACACACACACCTGCTACTAGTCTTTAGAAAAATTGCTTTGAAAAAAAACTGGCCTGTAGTGCAACATGTTGCGAACCAGTATCCTGTACTAGTGGTGCCTAACCCCTGGTCTGGGGACCGGCGCTGGTTCGTAGGTCATTTGGTACCAGGCCGCAGTGGGACACTGAAATAAATGTACTTCAGTTTTACTGATTTACTTCCTTCCAGAAGAATCCAGTCATATCCCTTTACTGTTTTCATTCAAAGATAATCGATGTCAATGTTTCAGAACAGCAGGTCAAAGGTCATTCAGACTCTGTTGGGGGCCGCTGTCCTCTACTACATGCAGGTGCCTCATTTGTCCCATCACAGTTACCGTCTGTCTTTTTGTTACAGAGTCTCCAGTAAAATCAGTGGCAGCAACATGGAGCTGGACCACTGCAGCCAGCAGGGTTCAGTAGAGAGCACCGCCTGGGGACTGGGCATTAGCAGCCTGACCTCTGCCTCCACTGACAACCTGGCTGCTGAAGCGAGTGAGTACTGATCTGGTCGAAGCAAATACTACGTGGCTAGCTAGGCTTCCCGAAAATACGCCCACACACAAAGTAGGTGAAAGTTATTGATGACTGTATGATTCTAGCCAGGCTAGATTAGCATGAACAAGTTAGCATGTTACTTTCGCACAGCCGTAGAGGCATTAAAATACACAGAATGCCATTTTGCTCTTAGAAAGTTAGAAAAACTTTCTTACTGGTTCTTCCTAGTATTTCACATTCAAAAGTACCACAAACGTAGATGTGTCACTTTTTCAACACAGTGATGCTTGTTGCCAGTCAATGCCTCTGTGCCTGTGCAAAAGGTCAGGTTTTCTGAGCCTCTTGTGCAGACACAGAGGCATTCATTTCAAGGCTTCAGCACAAGTAAAAACATGGGGTAAAAGCATCATATCAAGATGATTTTATACACTGTGATGTCATATTTAATTATCCAGTAGGAATGTTTTGGTTGCTTGGCGATGGCAAAACAACACACTAACCTAAATGCATTTTTTTTTTCGCTTCTGGGCGTGGAGATATCCAGTTAAGATTCTCTCAGTGGAGAATATGTTGGGGGCGGGGGGGGTGGGGGGGGGTGCAGGCCTATATAAGAGTCCAGGGATTTCCGACGTGTTGCTGAGTTGATGTTTTATCCTGTTTTACTATAGTTGTACTTTGTCCACCTGCAGCCGAGGGTTTACAGCTGCAGACAGGCTGCTTATCTCTGCGCTCTTTCTTTAGTTAATTTGATTTATTTACACCTTTTTCTGACCTGCCGTTGAGCTTCATCTAAATCCGTATTTTTCGCTTAAATAAAGTAGAAGTAGAAATTACGGTGGTAGCCCTTGAGTCTCAGTGACACCGAGACATTTCTAATTGCTGTAACTTTCTGGGCAATGTTGTTTGCGGAGATAATTATGGCGTAAGATAACTAGGGGAAAAAGGGCTTGGCTACATCCTACAGAGTGCTTTTTTATTTTTCTTTACCGCCTTCTGCAAAAGCAGTTATTGCAGAGCGCACCACACAATTATGTCAGGATCTGCCTCTTGTAGTTTAATGTAAAGCTCCAGCTCTTAGTCTGTAATCTGGTGGGCGACGATCTGAGTGTCGGCTCGAACACTAGATGGTGGAAACTTTCCAGCAGGTCTGAGGGAAACCAGGTATGTGTTTCTGTGAGGGCTGAGCAGTAGACAGTGACGGAGAGGTTAACAGCTGTCACGCATGAAATATGACGTTCCTGCAGTTCTGAAATAGTGAGCTAACTTTCGAGGACACATGGAGGGAATCCGCAAAAACAAGGATAAGAAAAACGGCACTGATCAACGTTATGATTTGTTTTTCTATTTGCCATTCAGCAAAAATGTACCGAACGCTTGTTTCTTTGTCAAACAGTCCTGTTGCTAATTTATTTTCCCCCCGTTTTCTGTTTTTGCAGATTCTTGTGATGCTTCACGGAGGTCTTGTTCCTCTCCATTCGCCCGAAGTCCAATGTCCTCAGCTCCAGGTTCCCCTCAGCCACCTTGTTTCAGCGGCTTGAGTAACACGCCGCCGCCGCTGCCGGAGAAAAAAACTGTCAATCGTACCGTATCGGCTCCTGACGGCACCAATGGAAAACCCTTAGTCCGAGCCTACCCACGCCTCCCGTTCACCGGCTCTGAATCCAACGTGTGTCGGTCGGCCGAGGTCAGCTCCCGCTCCAGTTTACCGTCCAGCCCCGTCGACCCCCGGCCAATCTTCTCCTCCAATGAGTCTCTTGAGCGTTGTCATGTGCAGCTGGGCAGACCCTCCAGGTCCCGTACGCTGGACGAGGCACTGAAGACACACGGACGTCTTGGTGTCCACTGCAGAACCAGCATCACCTGCTCCTCTTCCCCTCAGCTCAACATGCCCTTCTCTGCCTCGGACGCCGGGTCGGCTCCAAATATGGGCTCCAGCCTGCAGCTGCAGACTCTCCTGAGCAACATCGACAGCAGAGAGGGAGTGTACTCCAAACTGGGAGGCCTGTACGCAGAGTCTCTGCGACGCTTAGCTCTAAAATGTGAGGATCACTTCACCCGATCCCAGAGGAATCCACTGAGGTTTGAGGAGAGCAACTGGTCTTTGTTTAGACTCACATCCAACAAGCCCAGCTGCAATGCAGGAGATGCTGTGTACTACTCCGCTGCCTGTGCCTCGGACCCGACCAACTCCTATGCTGTGAAGGTAATTTCTTTCTAAAAGCTTCATTGACATTTGTGTCATTCCAGCCCTATATTTACATACAGTTTTTAGCTTAGTTCCTGTGTTGGACTGATGAACAAGAGTGAGGAATGAAAGCGTTGGACGGAAAACATTTTTCTTCATTTGGTTTCCTAATCCATCCTTAGCCTTGTGTAAACACTGAGCCATTTCTTATCGACACGTTAGTTGATGGTAAGTTTGTAGGAATCTAGTCCAGCTAGTGTGTTCACATGTTACATTTTATCAACCCTCAGAAGTGAACAACTAAACTTGAGTAAATCAAGATTTCTGTTCTTAGTGAATCTTTTTGACAAATGCACTGTGTGGATGCTAATGCTCAATGGAAACATGCTTCAGTTTCATAACTCCTGGTTAGATAGAACCTCAAGCAATGTTCAATATTTCATGGTTTTTAACAACGGCTAATTTTAGAGTCGGTTGAACCCAATGATTCATTAATGTGCACTCTTGACTCTGAACACTGAGTTGAGAACATAACAAGTGAATTATTGTAAACGACTGTGGCCAGATTCTTTGGCATCGGAGAAGTAAACGACTGTGGCCAGATTCTTTGGCTTCGGCAAGGAGTGTGTATTGAATCTGGCGGTTACAATACGTATTTCGATACGGGAGCAACGGTGCAATATATTGTGATATACTGCAATTTATTGAGTTGTTTTTCAGAGAATTTAATGACTAAAATTGGAACAAAGGGATCTGCATTTGGTAAAGCTAGGGAAGAAATAAAAGCATTTGCAGGATTTGTTGGATAAAAAAATAAGATTGTTTGAATTGAAGTCTCAAATACGAATATTTGCAAATATTTTTAATCCCTGAACAATAAACTGGCGGTTGGAAGTTTAAATGCAACACGAAAGTGAACCAACGCTATGATTATTTGCATTTTAACTGTTAATTAAAAAAAATCAATACATCGATATTTCAGCGTATGGATATTTTCACAAGACCATAGGTAGATGAGTCATCTGATCTGAACAACGAATGAAAATAAAGGTTGGGGATTCATTCTCACTGACCTTTGTCCTAAAGTCATTAGTGCTGTCACCAAACCCCAGCCGTTTGTACACAGACTTGTCTGGTTGCCAACATTTTTACTTAATATCTCGAGGCTTGATTCAATTCCAAGATGAGTTTTCCTATAAACTAAACCTTGTCTCAGTCAGTTACACAGTTATTTTCCCGCAGTTTGCTAAAAGGAGTCGAGTTACAACAGGAAATGACCTGTCATTGACCTTGGAAATTTTCTTTCCCAGCATTTCTTCCTCTCCTCTCACTGCTGGTTGTGTTTTCACCTCCACAGATCTGTAAGAATCCATCCATGGAGGCCAAACAGATCCATCTCTACGGCCTGTCGGTACAACAGAGCATGCCTCCGCACTTCAACATCCAGCAGGACTGTGGACACTTCATCGCCTGTGTGCCCCAGAGCATGTTACCGCCCGACGAAGCGTCTCCTCGCAACCCGCCAGATCCGTCCCTGCAGAAGCCTTCCGTGCCGGCACCGGGTCAACAGGTAGACAGAGAGCGAGTGGTGGTCATCACCCCCGAAATCCCTCAGCAGACGGCGGCTGACTTTGCCCGTGAGTGGGAGGCATTCCATAAAAGTCAGCCAGAGGTCTACGAGCGTCGGGTTTGCTTCCTCCTCCTGCAGCTGTGCAACGGCCTGGAGCACTTGAAGGAGCACGGGGTCACTCACCGCGACCTCTGCCTTGAAAACTTGCTGCTGGTGCCTCATCAGTGCAGGCCACCGAGTTTTCTCCAGCAGACCCACAGTGAGAACAACATGGCGGGTGCGAATAATCAGCGGAACCTTCCCAGGCTCTTAATCAGCAACTTTGCCAAGGCCAAACGGCGCTCCTTCGAGGACAACGCTTCAACCGGTATGGACCCACGCGTTAAACGCGATCATGCCAGGCTGGCCCCGGAGATCGTCTCAGCAGCCCAGTACCGTAAATTTGACGAGTTCCAGACAGGGATCCTGATCTACGAGCTCCTTCATCAACCCAACCCCTTTGAAGTGAGTCCAGCACTTAGGGAGCAAGACTACCGCTGCGAGGAACTTCCCACCATCCCCTCTGTCTCACTTTACTCCGCCGGCCTCCAGAAGCTGGCTCAGCTCTTGCTCCAGTCCGACCCGATCAAAAGAATTCACATTCAGGAGGCCAAGCGCATACTGCAGAGCCTGCTGTGGGGTCCCAGGAAGGACCTGATGGAGCAGCAGCTGGAGAGACAAGGCCAGGGAGGGGGCTTCGCAGACGAGTCCCGGCACGAGGGCCTCCTGAACTGGCTGGATGTGAAACGAGCCCTGCTGATGATGAAGTTCGCTGAGCGTTCGCTGGAGCCTGAGAGGAACGCAGAGCTGGAGGACTGGCTGTGCTGTCAGTACTTCTCCTCTGCTAACCCTCTGTCTCTCTGCCACACCGCCGAGCTGCTCTACTCGCTAAAGTAGCAGCTAACGTGGAGCCAAAGCCGTGTGATGATGTTTTTGAGAAAGAAAAACGTTACCGACATTAGTACCAGCGGTGCTTAGACTAATGTATGGACACTGTGGAGGGGTCCACGTCGTGCGACCCGCTGGACGTAACTGTGAAAACTGCCCACCTGTTTGTGCTAATGCTACACGCATGTGAGCCATGCATCCAATCAGCCGGTCCACTTTGAACAGACAACTTCCTGCCACAGACTGTCACCGCGATGAAGAAACTACATTATTTGTTGTTTATGCTGTTATCTAAAGTCAGGCAGTAGCATTCAGTACTCGGTATGAGTCACTCACTCTGGAACAAACTGCCATTATGTCGTTTTGCTGTTAGCAGGCAAACTTGAAAATTTAGGGTGACATAAAATTGGTTGAATAAAAAAACATCTACTTAAAATAAATTAAAATGCTACTAATATTTAGCATAATTATGTAATATCGGTAAGAATCGTTAGCGATTTTTCCTGTGATGTTGAAAACCCGATTTGTGTTTTCCACTTGAACCACTTTGTGTCAGTGACACACGATAACCAATCACAAGGACTCTCACATCTCCATCACATTCTCGCCAAAGCTTCTTGTTGTCGTCTGTGTATTTATTAACTTTTAACATTTTACAGTGAAGAACAGACCGAAGTTTAGAACTGTTCTCCGTCAGTCAGCTGAAAAAAAACCTGTCTCGTCCATGTGTACAGTTACTTTGTTTTTAATGTTGCCTAAGTGTAATGACATGACTAAAACCTTTCACCGTTCCTCTGTATACTGGTTTATTAGCGGGAACGGCCCTCTGTACGTGTGCGTTACCTTACGTGGACATGCGTATATTTGAACCCATAATAATCCATACGCAACATGGCGACGTTATTTTCAATTAAGACAGCCTTTACCGACAGAGTCAACGACGGGCGTGTCCTCATCCTTACATGAACCGTATGTTTTAAACCATCTGTCACAGTGCCTTTTATTTCCTTTTTCTGTGTGTTTTACAGTAATTAGAGGGGGAAAAAAACATAAATGTAAATACTACTGATCACTGTCCTTGGTGAAACTGGCCTTTCACGGACTGCTCTAGAAACAACTCTGTACAGTTCTTTGTAGATGATATGAGAAGAAAAAAATGAGCCCAAGCAGGTCTTAGAAAGCCATTACGTGGAGCAGTACCTTAAAATCTATTTATGATTTCATTTGTTATCCTGTAGCCGTCACTGGAATTTGTTGCTTTTTGTTTTTTTTTTTTGTGTTTTTTTAGTTGTGTTTAGTGGGCTGTTTTTGTCCCACTGTGTGCCATGTAGGCTGCATTCTACCGTCAACAAATGCTTTTCTTTGTCCAGAATGTCCAGCGCGACAAGAAACCAATCACCTGCATGCAGGTCTGTGTACGTGACTGAAAAAGAAACCCACGAAGAATTTGTCATTGATTCGCTTTGTTTTGTTTTTTTTGTGTGCGTATCACTTATTGGCATCTCTCAATAAACTGCATTTATTTTCTCACAGTAGTATCTCGTGTTTTATTTGTTTTATATGAAGGCAAGTTGAAAAAGTTCAAGGACAAATGTAGTAAAAAACGTTATGTAGGATTTTTTTAAAATAATCATCCTGCATTAAAGTCCTTTCCTTTCATGAGGTCACAACCTGTTTCTAAACCTTGTCTAAGGATTCAAAGGTTAGCATAAAACAATATGATGTTTTTATTTCAAAATTGTTAATTTTTTTAGCGTGGAAAAGATGACAAAGATTTAGTGATATTACATTTTTTTAACTTATTACAAAGATTTAGTGATATTACATTTTTTAACTTATTTTTATTTATTATTATTCGTTACGTTTGAGATACTGTAGCATTTTAAAATGTTCATGAGTCACAGCCGTGCACTTCATGCTAGAGGAAGTCAGACCTGTTAGCATTAGAGGCAGCCGAACTACAGGCTAAGGGCGAGGTGTTAACACGTAGCAAGACACCAAGCAAGAACTATGTTGTTTTTTTAAAGACTAATCTATTTAGTAAAAATTTTCCAAATTGTAAGGAATTCTGTGGCTATTCACAGGTTGATTTTAATTAATTATTTGACTAGCTCCTACCATTAGCAACCTAAAAAATGATCCATGTTGCTACTTTCAAGCTAATAACTGCCAACTCCCTACTGCATGTGTTTTCCTTACAGAAATGTCAAGAAAAGGGAAACATTGCCCTGTAAGACTGAATGCAACTAAAGCAAAAATTAAATTTAAATATAGTTACATGTATTTAATTTGAACCCAATTAAATAAAAACAGTATTTTCAGAAAAGTTTGATTTGCTTTAGTCGTTTTTCCCTTACATTATCAAACCTGGCAACCCGTTTGTTTTCTACTGATTATTTAGACTTAAACTTCCAACTGCTATAACGTTAATTTTCGAACAATTTGGAATTTATTTTGACAACAGAAATCTGAACTTAACCCTGACCTTTTCTATTGTACTCAAACTTTTGTCCACCAGTTCTGAAGTTTAAAAAATCAACAAAAAAAAACATTTTGTCTGGGGGCTGTTAAACCTAGATAACATCTGAAAAGTTCTGCTTGAGTTCGTTTTCCTCTCATTAATGAACAAACTAATGACGTAAGAAAGTCGTTCAACTTCAACCAACTACATCAGAAGGATCCGCTGTTGTTGGGGGGCAGGGGGCAACGGAAGAAGACAACAGGTTGGACGTGCTGTAGAATCCCAATTTCAGTTTGGAGCCTCAGGCCAAAACAGAGAGCAGACTTTTTCCCACTCCCTCCCCCACCAGCTGCCCATCGCCTCCCTTCTCTCCCCCCACGTGAAGCTTTCTGCTCCACATCACTCGTTCAAAACCACTGCTGCTCCGCTGTCATAGGTGGAACTATGTTGCTATGGTGTTTTGACCAATGAAATGCGAACGCAGACAGTCTCTGGCTCCCCCTATCGTTCACAAAAGACACACCACACAGTAATCAACTGAGGCAGCCTGTTGAGCAGCAGCTCCGCTCATGTACAGAAACTGGACAACAATAAGACACGTCACATATGTTTTTAAGTGACATATGGTGTTAGATCTGAGGGGAAAATATATTTTGTCTATAATTCCCTTCATCTCATTCTCTGCCATGACAGAACGGAGTACTGAGTCATTCAGTCCTGCAGAAAACAATGAAAACAATCATTCTCTCTTTTGTTGTTGTTGTTGTTTTTAAAAAGGGCCAATCATGAGATGTGATTCAGTTGCACACTCTCTCTGCCTCACATTTCCTCACGTCGCTCTAGTTTCCGTGATATTTCATGTTATTTCGGGGTACGGAAAGTGTGAGACTCCCTGGAAGACTGGTCGTGTCTGAGGTTATTCTTTAACCCAACCTTTAAGGTAAAGCAGTTTTTATACATTTTATAATACCAATATTTTTAAAAGTATTATTATTATTAAACACAGGATTTGACAATGTCCATTAATCGATTAAACGTTTTAATCAGATTAATGACAGCGTAGCTGTGGATCAAGCACGATTAATTATGATTGTAATTTATTAAGGTTAATCACGATTAATCATGATTAAACTTGATTGATCAAGATTACTCAAGATATGTCAACATTCCCTAATAAAACCAAACTTTTTGTATGGATATTAGAGCAGGTAAATGTCTGTGTTTCAAACCGGCTTTGATTTGTGACTAATCCAAATGATGGAATTATTTACATGACCACTCAATGGGCTTTTACACTACAGGCTTTTGCGGTCTAACTCCTGAGAGCTAGGGTGCCAGAGGGGGCAGTATTTAGCCAAACCCAGATCCCTGTGACAACTACAGATACACATTATCTCACTGCCAAACAAACTGTATTTTACCAAATATACCAGATCCTGCTGCCATTCAAAGCTGTCCCCATCCACTGTAATGGATTCCAAAGATTCCACTCAGGACGGCGTTCATATTGTTAAAGCACAGCTGACAGCAGAGCTGACAGAGTGGCCCAGAGGGCTCTCACTCCATCAGTGTTCCAACACTGATGCTCATTAGCATGTGTTTCAGCAGAGCCAACTGTCAAATGAAGGTCAGTAAATACTGGTCTGTCTGTGTCCCAGTCATTACAGCTCCGTGTTACGACCTAAGAGCCTGTGACATCCTGCTCACTGGTGTGTGCAATAACTCCCACAACATCTTTGCACTCCCTAGTTCAGGGGTAGGTAAACTGTTTGACTCGCGGTCCACAATTGGTCCTAAAATTTGACGGGTGGGGGGGGGCGGGGTCAAGAGCAGATAGACAGAGCGTTAGTGTGAACTCAGATAAATGAAAAAAGTCATGCATAAAGGCTAAAATGCTAAAATCATATTCTACGCCATCTATTGGGGAAACGTGGGTATTGCACGGAAAAGACAATAGTATGATGATAATATTAATAAATTATATAATTTGGAAATGTTTGGCAGCCACATTAAAAAGATGAAAGGGCCACATTCAGGCCCCGGGCCTTAGTTTGCCCATGCCCGCCCTGGTTCCATAATTCTCAGACTAGAATGATTAATTGAAAGACGACAACAAAAACTGTCTTCAGCTGCTTTGCTAAAAAAAAAAAAGATATTGTCCGTTTTTCATATGTGATATGGAAGCTTTAAGGAGGAGGTGGGGTAAAAGTCAGCTCCATTTATAATATATAATATAAGGAAGTGATACATGTTTGATACACTTCTTCAGTGTACTTTCGTAGGCAGTATTTAAAAAATATATATTAATAGATTAAACGACTGACGTGTTGAAATTATTCAAACCGTTGAAGGACCATTGTCACTGGACCGTGACAAAACTTTCTGTTGGTTACTGACATCTTGTGGCTGCAGTTTGCTACTACCTGCCAGATGTTTTTTCATTTTGAAAGTGAAGCCATCAAGACACATTGGCAAAACTGAATGTACTTTATAGTACTTGTGTTTATGTTTTATGTTGGGGTTTTCTTTTTAATATTGCAAATTGGTGGTTTTTCTGTATGGAGTTTATATGTAAACTCTAGGATTAGTTCAATCTGTTACTCTGAAGTGACCAGTAGGGGTTTAGGTCTTTCGATTCAATTTGTAGCCCTTTAATTGCCTGCACAAATTGCCTCTACAGGTTGTAGAGAGGATTGATTTTTTTTTTTTATGCATTTTCTATTTCTGACAGCAACTTCTTGGAAACCAAAAGACTTCCATGAATATGTTTATGAATTTTTTTCTTTCTTCATAAAAACAAGAACAAATGAAAGTCATGCGGTGCCAAACTTTATTTTTAAATCAAAACAAAGCACAGCCTTAAAAGAATATGATGACATTCACTCACTGCTTTAAGAGACAGGAAAAAGATACAGTCGTATCTCTTTTGAATTACGGTCATGCTCCGAATTAGTCGAGCTTTGGTCACGACTTCACAACTGTACCGTGACGGAGGAGTTGCGGCCGTTATGCCGAAGCCTAAGCATATGAAACATTTTAGCCTGTGATGCTAAAAAAAATGCTTATCTTCTGATTATGTCGGACTATTTGTCAGAAGAGTGTTGTGTTACAGATGATTTGTTAGTTTGCAGCCTGTGATGCAGTGGAACACCAGGTCCTCAGGCAGGACACAGGTGAGATCAGCCCAGGTGGAGGAGGGGAGGAGGGGAAGATTTCAGTGACGGGGTGAGGGAGGGCTGATTTCGAGGCTTTATCTTCATTTCTTCTTGGGCTTTGGCTCCAGGGGTAGGCCAATTTCCTTTCCTCGCAGTTTCATTCCTGTTGTTGCAGAAAGAGAGCGGTAAAAATGGAGTCGTTCATGTCACACCAACAGCTGAGAGAAAACCATGATCGTCGTCATTTGAAGGGAAAAAAAATCATTAGAAATTCTCACCAATTACTCGCTCGATCTTGCCCAGGACCTGGTTGTTGGGAATTGCTTTTCCAGTCTCATAGTCGGCAATGACTTGTGGTTTCTCATTAATTTTCTGAGGAAAAGATAAAATGTAAAACATTACATCAAATCATGAATGACACAAACGTGCACAACACAGTCCTGTGGTAACCGTTAACCATACACTCATGATAATTACAGTTATAATTAAAAGTTAATTCTCATGACTCATTTTTAGACAATATCCAAATCAAATAAGTCAAACAAGACAATATTTAATTACTGGTGCTGTTAAAACTGAAATGTTAACTGTGACAATTTGATTAATGTCTGAAAGTAACGACATTAAAAATTCACTGCATTTAACTGCACACACAGAATGACACTCACTGTAAATCCAATAATTCCAAACGTCCATCCACTTACTTTTGCTCTGACACACAGTCCATACACACGTCGTTCGCTTCATTTCACTGAAGCAACTCCAGCTTAAATTACCACGTGAACGTCCAGCGAGTGTTTACGGACACGTCGACGTGAGACGGTGAGAAGTCTGACTCAGTCTGTATCGGACCAGCCTCACAGAGCACAGGGCTGTGAGTCAGGCTACAGCTGAGCAGCTGACTGACGCAGCAACACGTGGGTTACAAACGGTTGTGGACTGATTCACGTTGTTGAAGACAATGGAATAACAACTAAAACCCACCAACTCCATTTTTGTTTCAGGTATACTTTTTTTTTTTTTACATTTTTCAATATTAACAATTCCATCATTTGCTTTAGTCACAAATAAAAACAGGTGGAACACATCTACCTGCTGGTATTGGTCTTTCTGTTTTGCCAGTATACAGAATTATGTTTGTCATATTTTGAAGTATTGATTTATCTCAATTATTCATGATTAATTGTTTTTAATTACAATGAATCAATGTTAGTTGCGATTAATCGTAAAAAGAAAGTTCTATAAAATTCTACAACAACCAACAATGTAAGAACAAAAACTAATACTGTTGTCAATATAACTACAACAAAGAGATGACTTTGCATGTTGCTTGTTTTTAATTGGCTTGAAAGGTCTCATTGTTTCTATGTCAATAAGGAAACAGTTGCTTTGGATTTAATGTCACTGTTTTGACTGGAGTCTGTGTGAAAGGGTGCGTTCTCTTCTTTACACCAGGAACTGAATGACTATATGACCATCAATGAAAATAACATCTGTCTACTCACAGTGGCCAGGTCTTTCTGGGTCAGACCTTTGTCCTGCCGGCCTTTCTGAATGACCTTCCCCACATCGAGGCTCACTCTCTCATGATGCAGCTCTTCAGTTTCTCGGTCCAGTTTGGCCGTGTTCTTGGTCACGAGGTGCTGTTTGTTCTGCCCTGCAGCCCCTGTTAGACACCAGTCCATTAATCGAAGGTCAACCAAAAAAAAGGGGGAACGAGGACAATGTGTCAAATCTGTACAGAAAGCAGAAAGTTACATTTCTTGGACGTCTCAACGTCTTCCCCACGTCTCTGAGCAGCCGCAATAGCCTGGAGAAGACATCGACAGACAACGTCAGTCTCAGATCAAGTCATTGTTGTACATTTGTATCACGGTGAGTTACAGCGCCCAGCAGTGTGACTACACTCACACTACTTGTCACGTAGCAGACAGTAATGTCTGTCATGTTGGTGTGACTCACTATATAAACAAAACATGATGGACTCTGACTCGGGACAAGCTCACCTGCCTCAGCCTTTAATTAGTCTGTTGTTTTACAGAGCTTACCTCGAACGCACTGTAACGTCAAAGATAAATCAAACCTGAATATAAACAACAGGAGGAGAATATACATGACCTTTGTACCTCTCTAAAACATCCGTGTTCTTCAGTGAAAATACACTTTTTACACTTTAAAAAACCTACAATTCTGTGTCCCCCCCTTCAACCAACACCCTCGCGAATTGAAATACTATTGAGAACCTCATAACGTGACATATATTTTTATAAACCACTGTATGAGTTGCTGCCACCTAGTGACTGGAGGCTTGTTATCATTCGAGCATTACAGCAGTGGTACACTAATGTCCAGTGTGCCATATTTCATTGGAATCCCCCCATGCCCCCACCTTACCACGCCCCCCCAACCCCAAGGGGGGCTGGGGCGATCCACTATTTGAGAAATACAGATTTAACCTGACAATATAGGCAAATTAATATGAATGGTGATAAAAAAAACTTCTGATACGAATTTTGAAAACTACCAATGTTACTTCTCTACATACTGTACTTTTAAATCTTAATACACTTCAACATTGGTTAAAATAAAATTGATTAATTGTGAAATCTAATTTCAAAATTAATAACATAAGTAATAAAATAAAATAAGACACCTCGGAGTCTTGTCTTAAAATGCCGTCTATCAATATATGACGCACATGCGCACCAACCTTCAGAAGCATTGTTTTGAACCTGAAGGATTAGAATTTTAGTACCGCAACTGTTTGCAATTATTTGACATATAAATTATGTCAAATTAATCAGTCAGGATTACTGCATGATCGAATGTTCCAGAAGTCTGTCGCATTTTGTTTGAAAGAAAAACAGTACAACAACAATAGCGATATAACATACAAACAATTTACGACATAAACAGTGACATGTTAAAAAAAAACGGACATGACTGAAAGTACCTCATTCTATTGGAGATACTATTTAAAAATGGACACCATTACGTATACGAGAGAATACTTTGACTGTTATTCGCTCGTTATAGTTAACTAACATTTTGGCCAAAGAGTCAATGTGAAATACAGCACTAGCTTCGAATGCTACTGCTGTTTTTCATATTGACTCTAAAACCTTAACTAGATAAAAGACGAGTTTAACGGCGACATGTGAACGACGACAACTTGATACTGAAACCAATAGCCACGTGCAGTTCGTCGCAGGAACATTCCACACAGATATACATAAGTGTGAACCCATAATAGTATGTTTTCGGAAGTTATTGTTTAGACGAACACAAATCGAACCTTGTGCAAACACTGACCTGTTTCGATTTGGCCTGGGAAGCCGTGGGCCCCTTCTTCCTCAGCACCGTCACTGTGTCCCAGTCGCTCTCGGCCATGTTTTCAACACTTCACTTCGACACGGACAATGTTTTAGTTAACGTCGCTACAAAAATAACAAATTCAACTGGCTGTGTGAAATGTATAGAGAAGCTAATGCTACCTTAGAACAAACGTAGCCTCCTTCAAAAAAAAATAATCACCAACGCAGTCTCTGCTAAAGCTTTTTTCTAGAAAAGTGTATTGGTTTACTCTTCATCTGGGTTCTAAACAGCAGTTAGTGAATTGTGTGATTAGGTGCTTTGGCGCCACCTTGAGTTGCGGAGGGAGACTTACGATTATAAGATACCTAGTTTTTAAGAACAAGAATAAAGACTAAAGTTTAAATAAAGCCTTTGATGTTTTTTCGCAAAATTATATAATATTTTACTCGGAGCAGTGTTACCTTTAAAACAATTGCTAGGTACGGTTCAAAAACCTTTTTTTTTAATGTAGTAAAAATATTTCAGCTAAACCACAAAGAGTACAGCTATTAACAAGACTTGGATTGAGATAGGTTTGTTTCAGAAGATAAAGTTGGGTTTTTAGGCTTTATGGATTTGAAAAATTTGGCTACAGCCAATCCTAGCGGTTGATTATAAAAATAATATATATATATTTATTTATTGAATTTAAAACTACAACAAGGCCATGTTTTTATGAACACGACTGCATATTAGTAGACAATTTCTAACATAACTGGGTTTCTAGTATTTCTGCAATGTTTTTTATACTGCCACAGAGGAGCAAAAAAACAGGCCAAATTCTGCAAATGTACATGATCACTGAAGATCAGTCAGACCAAGTCTAAGGTTTTTTGATTTTCAACAAAAACTACATGGAACCTTCAGTCAATCTTGATAGTTCAGCTCCAAGAAGGAGATGTTGAGACGTTAACGCCTTTACGCACGATGCATGCATGCAAAACCATTTTTTGTTTATCTCACACATCAGCGACAACAGCTGCAAGACTTAAAATATTTGAAGCATGAGTTTTTTTTTAATATGACAAAGTGAGTTTACAGAAACAACCATACATTTAAGAAATCACAACTGCTTTATTTCTTTTTCTTTCAATAAGCTTTTTTTAAAACAAGGGGGGAGTATTGACCAAATATCTGAAAAGATAAAGATCAGATAGGATAAATAGAATGCTGGATCAGCTGTAGAAAGCACTGGTCCTCTGACAAAATGAAATGTGCATCTTAAAAATACAAAAAGAGGGAAAAACATGTCAGGGCAACATTTTGGTGCAGAAACAATGAAAAGCATCGCGAACCTTTTTTTGTTTTTTGTTTTTGTTTTTTCAATAAGAGATACGAGGCAAAAACACTCCAAGTCTGATAAAGGTATCAACAAGTGAAGCAGTCCAACCTCAGAACACAGTGACCTTTTCAACATGAAATCCTTTTAGTGCCATGATATCTAAAAATGAAAAGCATGTATGTGTGTGTGTATCTCCCTTCGCTGTATTGACTGTACAGTTAACTATGCATATACATATATACCAGTGAAACATTAAGATAAACTTTTTGTAGTGTCATTGAGTTTTATAGTAAGTTAGTAACATTTACCCAGTTATGATATTGGCATGAGTTTCAAAAATTGTCCATTACAAAAAAAGAGAAAAAAAAAAACTTGTTTCCAAAAGCTTCACATTTTCAAAGAGAACACTTTAAAAGTCCTTCGTAGTCCACTGGAACTGCAGTGCGCACAAAGAGCGAGAGGGAAAAAAATGTATTCAGCAAGCAAACCCCTTTATTTATGATTATTAGTTACTGAAAAGGAAAAAAAAGACGTTATTTGGACCCTGATTGTGAATATAGTTAGGCTCTGTTTATTGCTAGCGCTCCCCTCAAGAGACCAGGCGCTGAATAATCAAAAGCAATGAGACCTTTTCTTCAAACCTCCCACCACAGTGAGCAGGATTAGAACAGAATTTGTGAGCAGTGTTTCAGGAGCCTTCATGAAAAAAAGGAACTAATTTCCCCAGGTTACGGCATGTAAAAAAAAAAAACAAACAAAAAAAAAACCCACATGTATCTGATAATTACAGCTCAGGAGTAATGACAGCCCAAACTGATTAAAAAAAAAAAGCAAACATTTCAAACAGCAACATCATGGTTTCTTTACAGCTTTGAGAACACCATCTGTCCCCACCAAAAAAAATCCCCAAAACATTTTACAGCTCGGTTTGATTAAAAACCATAAAGTCAGCAAAGTGAATGCTGCGTTCAGGTACAGTCTGTGTGAAATGTCACTAGCCTTTGGAGAAATCCTGCAGTTATTACACACATTCAGCACTTCACATGCACACGCTGTATCAATGTCAATGACGTTTCAATGGAAGCAGCATGATTTGGTAAAATGTCCACTTTTTTTCTTCAGAAAGCAAACAGAAAGCAAAAACCGTTTTAGAAAAACACATTTCTTATAGTGATAACAAAGCAGTTTAGCCACAATAATGAAGCTGGGTGAAGAACCCAGGAGGATGGGATTTGAGGCTGACGCTCTTGAGTTTGCCCTGACATGCGGTGATGTCCAGTTTCGGTTTGTTCTGGGTTAACGAGCAAGTCCGTGACCAATAGTATGAACAAGTGTGACTCAAGCCTCTATTTATCAGTGTTAACAAGTGCCCCACTGCACATAGCTAAATTCATTTTATTTTTTAAAAATAACTCAGACTATTTCTTCTCTCTGGGCGTCCTATGGAGTGTCTGCCTGGTCTGAAGCGCTTTAGTCCAGAAATACATTTTTGGAGAAACCAAAAAATAAAATAAAAAGCTATGGAAATTGAACGGTGTCTGAATTGGCCACTTGCATCTTTCCTGCATTGAGGAGAAACACAACAGTGTGAAATATCTGTAAAGTGACAAAACAATAAGTTAAAGAAGAACCTTGAAGAGATCTGCTTAAAAGACCATTTGTGTCTATGTATATATTTATAATATTTATATATCTCTAAACGTGGTGTGAAATAACAGTGTACAGTTGTGACAGTTCAAGAGTGGGGGGTGGGGAGTGGGGCAACTCGTGTTGTCTGCCTGTTTGCCCCCTATGCCTGTGTGCCTTTGTACATGATGGTGGTCAGAAGGCTCAGACTTTGGTCAAGGAGCTTCATGTTGACCAGAGGGAGCTAGGGGAGGCGGGGGTGAGAGGATGATGAAGACTTTCAGGTTCACTGCTTTCATGCCTTGCCCTCCTCTACTTTGACAGCCTGTGGTTTGATGGCTCCTGTACGTGCTGGTTTGGCTTGGCCCAAGGAGGGGAGGGGCTCCTGGAGTTTGCTGGTCATGCCACTGGACGGTGCTTTGCCTTCACCCACTACCTTAAGCACTTCACGCATGGTTTTATTCTGGAAGAAAAAACAAGAACATTATTTTATGACCTCCAGCAATGCATTTTCACCCAATTACTCCAAACTAGTATTTTAAGGTAATAGTTAACCAATTCATTTGAACACTTAATATATAAACATCTCTGCTAACATATATTGCTACACCTGTTAGCCTGCTAACTTTTAGAGTGCTGTCAAAGCTCAGGTCTGTCCTGGACAGTGATTCACCACTGGTCAGGAACTCCTTCAGTAGCACATGTATTCCACTGATTGGCACCAAAGAGTGCCAAAGGAAGTCATTCCTGGTTAAAGAGTACATTTACACTTGGCCCTGTGTATGACAACTGTCATTATGATTATATCAAACAAATATATTTTCCCCCAATGTCCTCTACTTGTATTTCTCATATTTTTTCCCCCAATGTCCTCTACTTGTATTTTCTCATATTTTTTATTCTTGCTCATTTTAAATGTTTTTGCAGGAGCAACTGCTACACCCCCCAATCAATTAATCAAACTAGTAATTCTTTATTTATCTAAATAAGAGAAAAATACAAATGTATTTTTCTTTGGAAAATCATTGTACAAAACTCTAAACTAACATCTGTTCAACATGTCTGTTTGATGTCTAGTCAAGTTTCTTGAGAGTCAGAAATGCTGTTTTTCCACTGTAATAATTCGACAAAAGCAGGGCTCCATTGTCACATTCTGTCAACAACAAAACATCTTTGAAGTATTTGTCGCTGCTGACTAATACTGACAGTGAACAATATATCTGAATGTACCAGTGCTCAATTTCAACAAGTGAACAACAGTCTGTGGAAGATAAAAAATGTTAGAGACAAACAGAACAAAGTAACAACCACTTTACCGTTTTGTATGTCTAGAAAAGTTTTAATGTATTATAAACAATACAAGTTTATATTAACTGCATCAGCAGCCATGTATGTGAGCAACACATCAAATACCATAGTTACCATCAAAAGCAGAATAAAATGTTTAAGGTAAGAACAAAATTGAACATGTGGGAAATAATCTCAACAATTGACTTAAAAATTACTACAGAACAGAAATCTCATTCTGGGAAATGCAACATCACTGTATTTTATAGTAATACACACATCTATTTTATTTACAGTTGAGCACAAAGCTGTCACATCACAAGCCTGCTCCCAAAACATAAACCATCTTCAAACCATTTTAAATCTGTAGCAATGTGTATTAAGACTACAGAAGAGCAACACAGTGTGGAAACATCACAAATCATCATTATTAGTAGTTTTGTAATAAAAATAAAAAAAGGAAAAGAAAAGAAAAGGAAATATGAAATAGATTAAATCAAATTACCTATATTTATAGTGGGTGGCTCACCTTCATGCCATCTTCTGGCCCTTTAACAGGGTGCTCAGGGACTGAGGGAGGGGTGGAGTGGGAGGGGTCACGGCCAGGATTAGGGTAAGGGGGGGAACGGATGATTACAGGTTTGTTCACCTGCATAACAGGTCTCTGGATAGGGTTAGGGAAAGGACCTGTGGTGGGAGGACGCATGTGCATCACCATGTTACCCTGGGCAGTTGGGACCTGGTGATGGGAGGGGACGAATGAGGTCAAAATGAGAAAAAAGAAAGAAGAACAGTTTGCGTCATAATATAACTTATGTGCTGCAATGTTAGATTCAGTTCATATTTTTGCCTCGCTAAGTACCTGCTGTGTAAAATGTGTTGGCAGAGGACCCACAGGGCCCCCAGGAACAGAAGTCTTTCCACTGGGACTTGCAGACCCAGGTCTGTTAAAAAGTAGAGGGAAGAAAAGGCTATACAACTCAGTTCCTTAAATGTGCAGTGCAACGAATAAAAACCAAACGTGAATGACAATTTATCTTTCTCCTTACTAACCTATAAGACCCTCCAGAAATGCCAGGAGAGTGGTTGGGCTTGTCAGAGAACTGGAAGCCCTTCATTTCCATCTGTGAGCCCTGAGAAGAAAATGACAGACACTGAATGACCAGTGACCACCATTGGATTTGATTACTATCATGACTGAAATCACATTTATTTTATGTAGTGACTTAAGACCCTGAGTCTTTACCTCTCGACTGCTGGTCATGACAGTGGGCTGAGAGCCTGGTGGCATCATTCTTCTGGGAGCGCCCACTGAAAGGTTCTGCCCCTGCTGCAGTTGGATGGACTGGGGGAGAATGAGGTGCTGCTGAGCAGAGCCGTAGCGCAGCTGAGAGGCATTGAGGGGCATTGTCACCTGGTGGTGAAAAAGATTTTCCTGTTTGAATACAAAATAATCTGATCAGCACCAAACCTGTTCAGTGAATGTCAAACTGAGTGATGTTGTAGCACAAACCTGTATGAGCTGAGAGTCCATTAACTGGGAAGAGCCCATTCCAGGGCCCTGGTTTATCTGGCTGTCATAGACCAGCTGCTGGCTGCCATTCATTGGCTGGTAGTGTGAGCCTGACTGTGGCTTGACCATATCTGAGGGCTGCATGCCAGGAAAGGCAGAGTAAGGCCCTTTGAGTGGGGCGCCACCAGACAGCACCATTGGATTGGGCTGAGACAAGTTGGGGTGCATGTAAACCTGGGACCTGAAACAACAAAGTTAGGTTTTAAATACATTCACAAATAAGAGAATTTCTTACGCATTGAGAATAATAACGTAACACTACCTGAAAGCGGGGATCGAGCTGAACATCTCTTGAGACTGAGAAACAGGCAGACCACCACGAAGTCCTAACTGAGCCTGGGCCTGAAGGGAGGTGTGCAGGGAAATGGGAATCTGTTGAGCTGCAGCTGTATGTATGGAAAAACCAAATATCAAAATCAAAAATCTGCTCTGACAAAAATGACAATATTTATTATTACATGACCGTCCCTTTACCTGCTGGTATGTCTGCTGCTGGGTCATGGTGGGAGGTACAAGGCGTGGCTGGCTTGGAAAAACATGACCATCGAGATATAGAGGTGGAATATGACTGCCTAAAAAAAAAACAAGGAAGGAAAGAAGCTTAGGTTGAGTTCTATTCACACAGAACCATCATTAAAGACACAAATAAGTCATACCTTGCATGGACATAGAGGGTGCTACTGATGCCACAGGCATTGGTGGCATTGACACACCACCAAAAGAACTGTAGCTGACACCACTAGATGATCCAACACTGCAGGGCGGCTGAACACCTGAAACTCCACCAGGAGAACCTTGCTCAGGGAGAGACTGGGAGTTCTCCCACGCCTTTCGCGCTGATTCCATCTTAAACAGGGTTTCAAGCAGGTGACAAGTTTAAAAAGCAGTTTAACCATGTTTTTGGGTTGAAAACAAGCAAGAAACGACTTTAGAAGTGACAGAGTATTTTGTGAAGAGACACATATCTGCATAAACTTGCATTTCAAATACCTTGAGTGTAAGATCAGCACTAGGGAATGAGATGGGGTTGAGGTTAATGCCAGGCTGAAGGTGGTTGGAGCGCAGCATAGGGATACTCTGGTTGAGAGCAGTCTGGTAAAAAAAAAAAAGAAAAGAAAAAGAAACACCAATCAACCCATCATCATCATCATCCCAAACGTAAGCACAAATGCACAATACCATAAATAAAAAACAAATAAAAGCACGTACATTAGAGGTAAGTGCATCCTGAAGTTTGTTGACAGGATTGGACACGGGCACTTGGGCAGAACCCGGTGGAAGGCTAAAATCAGAGTCTTTGGCACTGACACCAAACTCAATTGGAGGCACAGGAAGCACAGTGTCCACATGCAGATCCACACCATTGACTGGTGTGATGGGGCCACCTTCAAGACGATCCACACCTTCTGAGCCCTTGCGATGCTTTAGGGAACGTTCGTTTCCGATGGGCCCTGGTTTGTGCTGTTCTTTACTCTGCTCTGGGCCTGCATCAGAGTCCTGGAGAGATAAAGTGGCAACAACTGTAGTCATTAATTTTCCTTTTTATTACAAGTGCCAAAGCAAATCTGTGAAATATATTACATTTTTACTTTTGGTAAATATAAAATTTAATAAAAAGAAGTTTTTAACCAGAAGCTGTGTGGGACTACCTCAGAGTTTGGCTCACTCCCAGTGTAAGACACCTGTTTAGTCCATGAGTCTCCTCCTGATGACTGCACTGAAAGAGCTGGCAAACAGAAACAATGGTTTTAAGTTCATTTGTCAATATTATATTTTTAAAAACACAAAAAAATACTTATTTAAAAAAAAAAGTATTCCTTCACATATATGTCAAACATATTTGCTACAGTTATTGAAATGTCTGCACAAACATTCTCAATTATTGTGTTTTTTCTTAGTTCACAAAGCAGAAAAGGATCAATGTTTGGTTGTTGGATTTGCTTCATACCTGAACTATTTGTCTCCCAGATTTCAGTTCCCAGATTGTTGGTGAGTGCCTCTTCAGGTTGTTCCATGCTCATGCTTCCCTGCTTTTTGGCAAAGCGTGGAGGGATCTTAGAAGTAATTGTCCGGTTTTTTACTTGGACCTAAAAGAGCAAAAGTAAATAAGACATTGTGACCCCTTGTTTTTTTCAACCACAACAACTTACTATCAGATTGTATTGTAGACTCACAGCAGCGCCCTGCTCTCTTCTTCTTCTCTCATCCTCCTGTGGACGCCTTTGCTTTTTGGACAAGGCGTCCTGGTATCCATCTTGACTTGAAAGAGGTCCACCTGCATCACCCTCAACTACAAAACAATCAAGACATTAATGAAAAAACTGAACAGCAATGTTTCTAATTCTGTAAATCTTTTTTTTAAAGACGCGCTTAACTCACTTGGGTAGCTGCTGAGATCATACTGGGACAGAGAATCAGCTATTTCTGTCTTGACAGGTCCTGGCTTCATCTCTTCCAGTTCTTTCCCAGAGGTCTCACTGGATTCTCTCTCCTCTTGCTGCTCAATGCTATAGACTGGACCCAACTCATCTGGGCTCCTGCTGTGAAGAGGGTTTAAAAGTTGATCAAAAACACAGAAAACAATGAATATATTGTACATGTAACTACAGACAATGTCTCTGATGGAAGTGTTTAAAATTTAGTTAAATTCATGTTTTCTTGCCGTTACTATATGGTACCACTATGTTATTTTCTATTTCTGTGCAAACATTCAATCTTAAATTATTATGTATTATTAGCCCAACTGGCTGTAAACCATGTGGAAAATTGGGATTGGTTTATTTTAGTTATTTTTTATATTCTTTGTATTTTACATTATTGTTATTTGTAGTGGTTGTTACACAAATGGTTTTAGAGCAAGGCAATGTCAATACTCAAGACAGGAACTGTCAATGAACTGAATAAATCACCAGCCATGTTAAATGAATTATTCTGGGGTAACTCTCCATTGAGCAACATATATGTATACTGTATATATTTATATTTAATATTTATGAATATTTAATTTATGAACATACCTTTTACAAGTACTTCCTCCATTCTGCCAAGTGTCACTTCTGTTGGAGGAGGTGTTTGAGGGAGGCTCTGGTGTACGCGTCATCTTGCCTGCCTCCAGAAGTGATGGCTCTCCTTTCCTGTTTTGTCGTTCCACCAATGGTCTCTGGCTGGAGAAACTCCTCTTAGAAAGTTCTCTTTTTTCACCAGAACCTAGTTCACTGTGGCCAGAGTCAGAGGGAACATCACCAGGTCCCTGAGGAGCTGCACCTCCACTTCCCCCTCGCTTTTCCCTCCAGTCATTGAAGTCACTATTGTCTGAGCCCGTCTCCCATTCTTCCACCTGACCATGTAAAGCAGCTCTGCCCGAGTAGTGACCACTGGGCCAGCTCTCCTCCCCAGCAGTTTTAGAGCGACCAGGCCAGGGTTTTGCAAAATCTCCATTCACATATTCATCAGTGGTCCACTGGTTTGAACCCGGCTCACGCTCTTGCTGTAGACGACGGAAGCGAGGAGGTTTATCCTGTCGTGGTGGACGACGTCTCCTTAACATCTGTCTGTCAGGGTTATCGTTGTCAAAGTAGTAGTCTTCACGGTCTTCTGTGCCATTATCCATTACAGAGCCAGTAAATTTAGGGTTATACTTGAGAGCATCACGCTCTGCAGGAAACCTACGGGAATATGTCGCTTCAGATGCAGGACCATAACCATTCTCCTGTAAAGAGCCACCATTGCTACCAAACTGGGGACCACGGCCCCTCCACGTTGAAACATCTCTGGAGCCTCCAAAGCTTCGGCTGTAACTACCAGTGGTGTTCAGTCGAGGAGGCAAAGTGCGACCCCCAAAATTTCTGCTGCTTTTGCTCTTTTCCTTGAACTCTGCAGCAGCCTGGTCATCTGTATACACCTTGTTAGATCTCCAAGAATCTCTGTCAGCTTTGCGGACCTCAGCAGACTCGATGAAACCTTCACCGTTTTCAGACCCCTTCTGGCGTCTCCTCTTGGGCAGCTCCTCATATTCAGAGGCTTCACTCAAGGTCTCACTGACATTTCTCCTCCGGGGCTTGCCTCTCTGGTACTCCTCAACTTTAACAAGCTCCCTAGGTGGTGCTCGGCCTCTGCCTATACGTGGAGCACCAATGGCACTGCTGCTGTTATTGTTGTAAGCTCCTCTGAGATTATCTGCACCTCGGCCACCACGAATTCCTCCTCTAGAGTTAAAGTCCCTAAAGCCTCGACTGCGACCCCTACCTGTCCCCCTGGTTCCACCAAAGGCCTGCTCTTCGTCAATGAAAATCCAGTTATTGCGTCTTGGGGCCTGGGCATCCCGGATTTCTTGGCTATCTCTGGGTGAGTGGCCCTTACTGCTTTCCCATGTGTTCTCCTTAGAACAATCATCACTGAGAGTGCTCAAAGGTCTCTCCATTTTCATGGGGGGTGGTGGTGGTGGTTGTTGGTGCTGCTTTTCTTCAGGCTGTTTCTCAACAATGGGTGAGGCTGCGCGACGGCTGATGGCAGGCTGGTTGTCTTTCTTTAAGTCATACACGTTAGTAAGGACCTCTTTCTCAAGGCGGTAGGGGACAGGCTTCTCCTCTGGTTCAGGCTTAGGCTTCTCATTCTCCTTGTCTTCCACTTTTAGAGCCTTAAGAACTGGTTTCTTAATGGGTCCGGTTCTGCGAATCAGTGTACGCCCACTTGTCTCAGGTGGCTGGTTGACACTACCACTGGAACCAGCTTCAGACCACTGGCTCTGTGCAATAACTGCACCATCTTGTTTGTGGCCTCCATCTCTTTTCCAGTTGTCTTTGGAACCATGTATGGTCTCATCATGACATTCAGGACTATCTTTCAGATGTTTCTCTCTAATGTCTTGTTTTGGGTATTCGTTGTCTGAATTATTTTGTGAGTGATTCTGGGCAGTTGTAAGCAAGTCTTGGTCATGATACACTTTTTCTGGGCTGCGGCTCTGGAAAGCATGATGGGGGAGATCATCTTGAGCATTTGTCACGCATTCACTAGACTTGTCTTCATACTGATCCTGCTGGGAACTGGTCACGTCACTTCTGTGTGGAAAGGAAAAGGCATGAGCATTATGTTATATTGTTATAACAAAAAGTAAGAGAAAAGACCTAAATTTGTACAATGATATACAAAGAGAATCTTTGACCTCTCATCTGGCTGACCGCTGTCTGAGTTTTCATTTTGTCTCTGGTAAGGTGGGGTAAAGCTGCGCAGTGGGTAGCCATCTTGGTTCCAAATAGGGTAAGACTCAGAGGAGGGGGTTCTTCGTTCCTGGTGCACATTGGAATGGGATCCCTCATCAGAACCAGGACTGCTCAAGTGATCTTGATGCATCATGGGTTTCATCATTCCTGCAGAAAAAATACAGAATTGGAATAAAAATGTAAAATGCTACTTTTTTGTGGCATGTTAGTATAGCCACCGAAGTATAGACAGTACCAGGGTAGAAGTCCACAGGAGATCGTCCTTGGGTCATGCGAGGATCCATAAAAGGTGGCATCATCATCCAGCGTGGGTCAAATCCGAGGACATGCGGAGGATAATAGCCTCTCTGGCCGTGGCTTGAGTTAGATGGTGCTGAGTGACTGGACTGCTGCCAATGTTGCATCTTGTATACTTGATCCTGAAGAATTCATACAATAGGTACAACACATTGAATCAGCATCAGGTACCCAATAAAATTGTTCAAATTTGTGGAATAAGACAGACACACAACAGATATGGGCAGACCACACAAGTTATCCCTATCAACATTTATCATGTCTTTTAACATTCGACTAAAAATACAAAGCTAATATTGGTGCAAGGCTTCTATTAGAAGATATGTAAACTTCTCACCTGCTGCTGGGGTTTTTGAAATCGGGGTGCAATAGGTTTGGAGGTATGACGTCCATTGTAGTCCCCTGGAGGGGATGAGGGCTCCAGTACATCATCCTCGCTGCCACGATAAGTGGCGAATGCAGTTTCCTCACTATAACTATGGCCTGAAGAATTATCTGGAGGACATTCACCTTCATCTGGAAAATATGCAAATAAAAATGTTGCTATTTTATCACCAACTTAAACCTGTCTTTTAAATAAAGACACAAATCTAAATCTGTGTGTATTTTTTACCTTTGCTACTGTACTGCCAGTTGTCACTGTAGCCTTTGATTGGTTCCCTGTTTGGAGAGAGTGGTACTTCTTTGCCTTCTCCTTCCTTCAGGCTTTCCTCTGTTCTTGATGTTTGCCTCTCAATCTTCCCAAACTTTTCATCCAGTTTTTTTAGTTTTTCTGCACAGGCAGCCAGCCGCTCCTCACGAGCACGCCTCTCTTCTTCTTCCCTGCGTCTACGAGCTCTCTCTACAGCTTCTGATAGTTCTGGTGATACATACTTGGCCCGAGCAGGAGCTTGGGTGTGAGAATGGCGCTGGTGATCTTCCTGATCAGTCAGTGACTCACTTTGGATTTTCTGAAAAAGAATGACAATATTAACAATTTTTCATGTAACATTAATTATTTTAGGACCTTTGTTCTCAAAAGAGAGAAATAAATATTATTTTGTGTTGTTACCTGTGGGTCTGCTGAGAGATATCTGCCACTGGTCTTCCTAGAAGGCTCCAGATGGTGATTTGGGTAGGAATAGTTCTCTTCAGGGCCATCTTGTGGGTAACCTTCACCCGAGCTCAGGGAAGAATGACAGTCGGGCTGGTTGTCACGCTCCCTCTCCCATTCAGTCCTAGAGAGTTACCAAGGTGTCATGTTTTTGTGACTATGCCTTATTGCTGACTAATAGTATTAAGAACAGTTAGTAAATTAAAGAAAAAGTTCTCACCACATTTTATTTTTATCACTGGGGCCATGGTCATCTTCATCATCACTGAACTTGAGTTTTTCACTATAGTCAACTTCTTCATGGAGACCTGAAAATAACCATCAGTGAGTGATGCTGAATATTTCTTTATCACTACCATAATATCACAAGACTGATAAGTTAGGTATCATTAGGATGAATATAATATTGAGTGAAATAAGCATGACAATGATGGTACAAAAGTACTTTCAATGGCAATACCAACTGAGATACAATTTTAGAACTTAACTAAATAAATATTAAAATTGGCATTTTCAGATGTATTCAAGATTACAATAACTAGCTATTCACACAATCATATTTAAGAATAGCTAAAAGGTTTTTACGCTATAAAAAGGAAATTAACTATAATAACACATAATATTAAATGAGAACTAAATTAAAAGAGACATTCTGACAGATACTAAAACAAAATTAAAAAAAATAAAAATACTGACCAGCCCATCCATCCTCGCAGTCATTGTCAAGATCATCCAGATCCTTCAAATCCTCTGGATTGATAATGGCTGGTCGAACTGGACGATCACCAGGTCTGCGGATGGGCTGTGATGTTAGCCGGGCTGGGGCACGCACAAAGCGAGTCTCTCTTCTTACACCACCACTGTATTTGGAGTAAGTGATGACAAATATTACTGATATGGTCAAAAGGTTAACAAAACACAAATACACTTAATTCCTGCACATATGCTTACTTGGCAAGTTCAGGTTTGGCATGAATCTGTCTAAAAGTTGGTTTGCTGTCGAACCGTGCTGGAGCTGCTACAGTAGTAGAAGCATGTTCTGTCACTGGGGTATCACGTGTCTCTTTAGCACACATCTGAAAAGGCAGAAAAGCAGAGAACTTTACTTTAAATTTGCAAGTAAAAAAAAAAAAAAAAATTTAAAATTTGGAAAAAAAAAAAAAAAAAAATTTAAAATTTGGAAAAAAAAAAAAAAAAATTTAAAATTTGGAAAAAAAAAAAAAAAAAATTTAAAATTTGGAAAAAAAAAAAAAAAAAAAATTTAAAATTTGGAAAAAAAAAAAAAAAAACATCTTTGTATTTCAGTTACGAAAAAGTGAACCATGTTTAACCATTTTCTTTGTCAACAACTAAAACCTTTGGTACTTACAAATGCAGGTAACATATCATGGTAGACAGCGTTTGAGGTGTGGTGAAGCTGGTACTGCAAAGCAGCGGGAACGGTGGTTCTGCGAACAGGCTGGGCGGGACGCAAGGAAGGCTCCTTGGACTCGAGAACCGGCGACACTGCCGGCGCTGCGCTTGAAGAGGTGGTGCTAGTGGCAGAGGGAGGGTGAGATGTGGCTGGAGGGCTCCCAGTCTCACCCACGGCAGTGAGTTTACCCTCGGAATCTGCAGGTAGGCCGAGGGTCAAGGAGGGTTGAAGGTTCCTGCCACCACCTTCCCTCCAGCTCGTCACATCTTTAAGAAACAAATCATGAGTTTTGATATACTAACTGACAAGTACAACATGGCTACATTTACCACAATAATAACACCACCAAATAGTTACATTTACTTCCATAACTTAAAGAAATACCTACTTCAACGCAGTGTGTGAAGTGTGATGTTCTACCACTATGTATTAAATATTTTTTTCACTGGATTAGTTACATTAAGAACGTATATAAAAGGATTGCTGTTCAAGTACACATTCATCATTTTGCCTTTTTAGCAATGAATTACTTTTTTTTCCTGTTGACAATATCAATGAGACCACAAGGCAGCTACTGAGATCTGAGACTCACTCTGGGGGCGGAGGCTTGGTCCTGGCCCATACGACGGATCGAAGCCGCTTCTTTCCTTGCCAGCCCTGTCCTGTTCTCCAGCTGCCTTCAGGGTGGGAAATTCCTCGTGAGAGAAGGGCTGAAGTCGGTTTGAGACCCTTGAACCTGTTGAGCGTGTTTTTAAAAAAAAGTGACACAAGGGTTGAAAGCATTAAAACAACTCAGTAAACACTAGAGGACACTCGTCACCATGTAAGAAAAACCCCTTGAAAAGAAAAGCCTCTTACCATCTTGCTCTACGGCCTTTCCATTTAGCTGGGCCCATTGCTTTGGTCCACCTGTGTTTGTGTTCTGTAGAAATAAGTACCAGGATTGGTTCTGTTACATTTGAGACAAAAACTAGGATTTACATTTAATTAAGTGTAATTTTTGAGATAAAAAACATACATAATTTCACAGAAATCAAACAAAGAATTTGCTGCAGCTACACCTACACACCTCCTGGTTGGCTACCGGTGAGGGCTTCTGAAGATTGGAAACAGATTTCTGTAAAGCCAGCGGCGGCTGCAACTCCGGCAGCTGTGTTATTAATGCAACAGAACTGCAAATAAAAAAAGATTTTAAAAATTTAAAGATTTAAATTTCATCAACTATCTCAGCATCAATGAAATTCAATTGAAGTATTAGAGGAATGGAAAGCTTGCAACAAGTGAAACTTGAATTTACCTCTTTTGATCGGGTTGTTCTTGCTTGTTTGCCCATCCTGTACCGTCCTTGGGCACAATAATTACGTTGGGATCGTTACCTTTGTTTTCAGACTTCAAGCTCGGCAGGTGAGCTGGTGGGGGCATGCGCCGGGCAGCGGCCACTTTGCCAAGACTCTGCAAGCCATGTCGAGGAACTGGTAACGCATACAAAGGTAGTTTAGCAGATAATAAATATACACACAAAACAAAAATAGAATTACAAATGCAGCAAATTAAATACTTTACCTGTGTTTTTCTGAGATTCTATTGATTTTCCCTTGTACTTGTCAAATAAGCTGAGCGAGTTGTACTTGCTTTTCCCATCCTTGGACTTGGTTATTTGCCCCAAACGATCGGACATTGCGATGTAATGTCATCGAGTAAGGAAATTTTTATTTGCGCCCCTTCAAGTGCCTTCTGTTTCTGTAAGACGGAATTGCAAAATAAACTTTTATTTTACTGGAGAAAGAATATAAAAATCTAAACATGAATGAAAACACAGAAAAATAATCAATGATCCTGTGTAGTCATTAGGGATGCACCAAATATTCAGCCACCACAGAATTTGACAAAAATGGAAAAAATGTGCAGTTTAGGTTTCCGAAAGACTTTCTTCACTGAAACATTATGGCCAAAACAGGATGTTGTGATGAAGTACAGTGAAATATTTTTGAATCCTCTGCACTTTATTGCAACTATACCTGATCCCTATTACAATAGATAATATTACAGATAATTACTTGGACATGGGAATAAAGCAGTGGATGCAAGAAATAATCCAAGTGGCAATGAATGTAGAAAAACTTCCTTGGAGATACAAGAGTCAGACTCAAGACGAGGCTGTATTATTTGTTGTTGTTACATACATATTTTGTAAATGCAAAATATTGTCTTTTTAGAGGATAAGAAAGTATGTACCCTGAAGACTGGATTTTTCAAAGACACTAGTAATTAAATTGGATCATGGTTTCTGGATACACTGGTCATGAGTTTTTCTAGTGTGACCTCATCCGCACCAGCATTATACAGAAAAAACATCTGTGGTATGTAAGTTCTGATATCATCAGTCTATAATCTGGTATGAAACATGCACCCTAAAACAGTGACTGACAATACCTAAATTGGCTTCAGACATTAAGATATCTTGTAAAGAACTTTAACAACATTTTAACCTGAGGACAAGCATACCACCAGCCTTATTAGAATATTTGTTTGTTGTAAACTGTTTTAGTGACTTACAAATGTACACAAAATTACTGAACTTCTGAATAAACCTCAGAGAGAGTCAAGCATGTTTTAGTTTGCACTTTTTAATTTATTAACAGCAAGTACTAAAACTCAAGTGGTTTGTGTTTTATTTTGCAGTTAATATAAATACTGAAACTCATTGTGTTTTATTTTGCAGTTAATATAAATATTGAAACTCAATGTAGGGTGACTGTGCTGCATTTTTTTTTTCAGAAATAAGAGGTAATTTTTCAAAATTATCTGGCATTGTTTTCACTGAAATGTTCTATGTATTGAGATACATGCACATGATAAGTACGAGTGGTATCGAAACACTAACAGTGATTAATAGTATTCAAGGGTAATCATAATTGCCCTGAAAAAAGTGGTATGGAACATCCCTTTTAATTGCCTAAATTTATTTTAAAATTAAAAGCCGGCACTGCCTCTGCTTGCAGTTATAACTCCTTATATTTGTATTCACATTGTAGGTTGTTTCACCTACAATGTGGAAACAGCTGTCAAATCACACTTGAAGTGCAAAAACAATCCTTTTTATGCTGTTCACTCTAAAATGTTTTAAGTCTGAATTGTGATGATGGCTACTGGTACTCATCACATGAACTGTAGGGCAATAATAAAAGGATAGTGTTGGCAAAGAAATATTGGTTAACAAAAAGTTGTTCAATACACACAGTTGATAAATTGTATTTTAACACATGCATATAAAAACAGAGGGAAAGGAAAAATTGATTGGCCTAACTGGAGGCCGCTGAAAATATTTACTACGACTTCCATAACATAACCTGCTTACATGAAATATCAACCGTCCGTTTTATTCCGATTTAACTATAATAAAAACACACTGCTTTACATATTACAAATTTTACTTAACGCATGAGTAAGTGTGGGAGCTAAACAATTACAGCTGTTTAGCGGCAATGTGAAAACTACGTTATAATGAACTATAGGACCAACAATGTCATTATATCTGGTATAATTATTGCAAATATTTCTGTGAAAAAAAACCTGACCTCTATAATGTCCACATTAGTAGCCGTTAGGTCGTTCAAAGCTAATGCTAATTCCTGTACTTAAAATTGACAGCAAATTTGGCTGGTCAATTTTAACAACTGCAATCAAAGACAAACATACACAACCTGTTGTAATTCTGCTGTGTGTAATTCGTGTAGAACCCCGTTAAATCGCATGATCCCCAATATTACGGGAATGGCAAATATCAACAGGGACATTTGGTGTAGATGCTGGCTATCACAAATGCTAACTAGAGGCTAACGGAAAACGGCTATGTAAACATCGAGTAAAAGGAGCCAATCTTCATGTCACCATGCTGTGAGTCATATAAATAAACTGACGCCACATTGTTGTGTCGTTTGCTTTCCCTTAAATATGCTAAAACACAATTATTTACCACTAGCTTTAAGACGTAGATGGGGTCTTCAGACTCGGCTTCGTCCAAACTAGCAAAACTGCAAAGCCACTTAAAAACTTCCAGTCTGTCGTCATTAAAACAACCCTGACAGGCCACTGCTTTTCGAAACGTTTATGTTAGAACAAAAACGTCGTTCTTTAAACGTGAGTATGTCAATTAACACCTAATCCCATACTAACGTTTTCAACCTAGCCAGTTTCTCGTCACTGTTTGAACGCAGCGACGAGAATGTAGGACAAGGCGATTAAAAATGGCTGCTGCACAGAACAAAGCAACAAAAAGCCAAAGAATCAGAGAAGACGAGTCAAAAATGCAATGTAACATATTATATTCTACCCAAAACTCACCGATTCAACGTTTGAGGTTATCTTCTGATGAATGACAGTAATATATTTCCTCGGAAAAATCTTAATTCGGAGGATGGATGGCGATTGTAAAAGTCCACTCTTCCTAGGTAGAACCTATGGTAGTGTTGTTGCTTGGGTCTTACCCGGCCTGAGAATGAAGACGGCTGAGTGGAGGCTGGATTCGCTCGGCTCCGTGCGTCTGACGTCACGGAGAGACGTGAGGAAGGAAACACCAGAGAGCGCCTCTGCTGGTTAGGAAAAGACACGGCCACACAGAATTTTCTAATGTAAATGTTTGTGGCTTCAAAAAAGGTTTGGAAACCTGACCCAAACCATACTTTAAAACAGGCAAAGACATATCCAGAGAAGAACAAATTGTCAGGCCTGTACGAATTTAAAACAATTTTATATTAACCTTTTGTGTAAAAATAAAGAGAGAGAGAAGAAGAAGAGCTGAGCTAACTTTGAGGATGTTTCAGAGGATTTTTCAGACTAGCAACATTTTCGGAAAAGCAAAATAATCGTTATAGTGACAAATAATATCCAGTTGTCTCTTAACGAATAAACTATTATGATGTGCAATTGGGAAAAACACCGCTAGAGGGAGGAATTGTCTAACTCCTCCTAAACCGTTGTTTTATCCTCTTGCGTCGACTATTCCACTTCCTACTCATTCAACTATATTTATACGTTTGTCTTTTGCAATTATCCACAGATATTGTAAAATTTACCTAAATTGATTAACTTAGTATTATCGAGGATTATGAAGTCGAACAGACGGATGACAGCTTGTTTTTACAACTCTGCTGATATTTAAATTTGATTTATTTGCTTACCAATAGTAACAAACAAACCACAAATGGTATATTATTCTCTTTGTTGTCATTCCTCAGCTCTGAAGCACTATCAGCATTTACACAGGGTTATTTTGGGGACATGTTTTTCTGGGTCGTGGAGACCTTGGCTTTGGTGAGAAATTCAAACCAGCTTATCAAACACGGTCTTGGGGTTTTTGTGTTATTGTGTTATTTTGTGTAATAAATCAGTTTAATACATGGATGTTCTTGGATCCTTCTAAAATGATATGGGTTGCAGGTCAAATTCCCAGGTCTGAGCTTCATAAAGCACATGCCATATCTCACAGTCACTGCAACAATTGTCCTAAAAATGAACCTTAGCTTGCCCATGCCTGGTATAGACTGTGTATTAAAAAAGTGATAAGTGGATGGATGTTATAATTATTGGCTATGCAGTGCAGCGCAGGAATGGAAAAGTAAATGTGACCACTTTAAATTCAACTCTCAAGTGCCTGACTCTTCTGTCAGTGTCAGAGGACATATTCAAATCAGTTTCTGTTCCAGCTTTAGGTGTAGTTTCGTTGTATCGGTGCTGCTCCCTGTCACATCTTGAGTTATGAGCAGTGTGGCGAGAAAATCATGTGAAAGGCAGAGAGTATAAAGGTCACAGGGGAAAGCAGATGTCTAAGATCTGTAGATGAGGAACACGTGATCAAGGCACAATGGCGTTCAGTTTTAAGAGTCGTCATGATTCAGTTTCCAGACAACAGTGAGACTGAAAACTCATAAAAAAGTCAAAGTTCAGTGAAGGGAACAGGTGCAGATTGTCCTGGATATAGGAAAATCTCATATATTCTTTAAGATAAAATATAACTTATTTTGGATGGCCATTGCCTTTCCGAGAATTTACATACAATTAGTTTTTTATTTACTATAACTTTCATTTACTTTAATTTACTAAAATATTCCATTTATATATAATTATAAAAAATATGCATTAAATCCACGTATGGTTTCGCTTGTTTTATTAACAACTTGGAGAAACAGTGTAAAAACATGGAATAGAAATCCCTGTACAGAACACGCTGAACTAATTTACAAATCTTCTTCACTGAAACATTACTGAAATTAAATCAAATTATAAAAATAAATCAATAAAAAATAAATAAAAATCACCTCATCAGATACCACTGTCTCTTCACACCAGAAACATTTGATCAACTAATGTACAAAATGTGTTACACTAATGTAACACTAATAAATAACAACACCACAAAAGAACAGTGTTAATGGCACGAGGAAAAGTAAAAAAAACTAATAAATAATGTTGAAGGCTAACTTTTGTTTTGTTTTTTTCCCACCCAAAGGAAATACAATAACACATCCACATTCCCTAAATACATTAGTCATGCCAATCAGGAAAACTGTGTAATATTCAAATTACATCACTTCATATATGATCACATTCACTAGAACATCCTGAATCTCTCCTTTGTTTAGTGTTAACCAATGGCCGAATAGTTAAAAAAGCCAAAAACTTTTATGGAAGAGACGAGGAGAGAAAATGAACAAAAAGAACAATAAAGAAAAAGAAAGTACAAAAACAGAACATCGTAAATCACTTCATAAATGTTCTGATAATTTCAACGGTACAACTCTTTTTAAGATTGAAAAAAAATGCAAATTCAAGGAAAATCCTAAACTCAGTTTATCCATTTTTACTGCTGTAATTTTTACATGATCTCCTACTGTAACTGTGAAGAAGCCTGAGGTGTTTTTGTGAAGCTCCATGAATATTGTCCTTCCTTTGGGAGTTACTGTACATGCAAGCAAACATGTGCATCCAGGCAGTAATGCATTTTTGTTTACATTTATTGGAATATTTAGAAAAAAAAATTTTTGAGGGTTCAGCATGTCGAATTAGCCCCCCCTGGTGGTGAAGAGTGCTCACTTGAAGAGTTTAGAAAGAAGGGTTCCAGCTGAGCGTGCTGATGGAAATGAGAGTCTGACAGGTGCTGGACGACAGCCACACCGTCTCCATCAAGCTGAAGTGGAACATGCCCAACGCGAAACCGCACACCATATCAGTGAGGTGGTGTTTTCCCAGCAACACCCGCGACATGCCCACCAGGAAGGCCCAGAGCACCAACAGGATGCGGAGCGGGACGGCCAGGACCAGGTGAGACAGGAGGAATTTAGAAACCATAGCTGCTCTGCTGGCGTGAGCCGCGGGGAAAGAGGAGACGGCCAGGGCGACAGAGTCCAAAAAGCCTGGAGTCATTTCCCAGGGTCCTCGGCGTTTGACCAGTCTCTGGAGTCCAGCTACGGTCATGACATCCAGGAGAAGAGCTGTCATAAAAATCAAACAAAAAAAAAAAGAAAAGAAAATAAGACTGGGTTCTAGGAGAGTGGTAATAAATGATCTAAGAATAAACAACAGAATACTGTACTATGAAAGTAATGTTCTGAAAATTTCTAGTGTGTGAATATAATACACTCAGTCAGGAATGACGCCATCTGCTGTTCAGACCCAGGAGGTAGACAGAATAAACTGTCAATCAATTCTGTGATACACCGTGTCTAACTTCAATCCAAGCCCCTACCAGAAAAAAACCTTATTAATCTTTCAATATTTTTGTGTAATGGCACCTGCATTTTTACTTAAAATAAATAGAGTGAGATTGTAATGGTAATGTTTTTAAATGTGTGATTTATATCTATTATCTACGCATTATCTATAAGAATAATATACTGAGAAGATAACACACAGCATTTCTAATAGGATTATAATAAAAACACATTTGTATAATCCTATTGAAATCTCCATGCATACCACTGGAGGGAGCCAGTAGTTCTCACCTGTACCCACGATGGTACAGGTGAGAACTGTGTTCCAGGCTTAACTAAAAAGACGACCCTGATTGATGTATAGAAATAAATCCTTAAAATGACTATGTTTTCGGCGGTCTGCCGAAAAACTGACGTCAACTGAAATACAGTATTACATCAGTGAGCATTTTCCCGTAACGGCTTTGGTCTCAGTCACCAGTTTCAGATCTTCTTCCATTACTGAAGTGATTAGTTGGTAAATCTGTAAAGAAGAAATGAAAGAAGAACCCGGTGGCTGTGGATTAGTAATCTCCCGAGTGAACTTCCCCATTTTTTAAGGTTAAAATTTGAGTGATTTTTTTCCCACTTCTACAGTCGTCAACAGTAGAACATGAGTTTATTTGACTCACGTTTTGTCAGATCTAAAACCTTCTGCAGAGCGTCAATATTACGTTTTCCTGAACCAGTAGAACTGATAAATACAACCCTGAAGTGTTTCAAATTGTCATTTGTTTTGTGAACCACAATTAACTATCAATTTAAGATAAAAGTGTACATTTCTGAGTAATGTAATAAGTCAGTCAGTACAACCTTAACGGAGTGATTTGTACACAATTAAAAATAAGGTGCTTCAACCCACATATGTAAGCGGCTAAATAAAGTAGGTACTTAAGTAATTGAGTAAGTCTAGCTAAAGACGTTTTGTGACATTTACTCACGACTTAGTTTTACGTCTTTTTAAACTTATAATTATTATAACTTAACATTTTTTTCTAGATGAGACAACAAATATTTTTTAGAGTGCGATCAGGTTTGGTTACAATTTAACTCACTGAAGGTAGAAAACATGATAAAGTAAAATGTAGCCCAAGTCATACATGACTTTTTTAACCTCATCAAAATGTTACTGTCATATTCATCAAAACACCAAGACAGAATAAAGAGCCTGCTTCTCCAACAACAGTATGACTGAGAATCTTCACAAATATGGGCGCTGACACACACACATTTAATTTAAGACGCCTCCTCAGACATACATCAGGTTTTATTGGAAGTGCAAACAAGACCTTGAATTTGGAGAGCCCGTCTGAGGCCTGTCTGAGGCGTTTATGGTGGGGATTTATATCTGCGCTCCAGCTGTATTTCAGAGAAAATACTGACAAGTTAAACTGGGTCACGGGAGAAACAAAGTCACACAGGAACACATGAAGACAAACAGGGGCAGACCACAGTGCTGTGATAAGGATGGGAACATCCTCTGCACAGTCAAGGTCTGCTGTCGGAGATACGACACCTTCAGGTGTCTCGCAGATATTTACCGTCACTGTGTGACCAGGCTGTTCGGAAAATATTTCAAGTTCATGTAATCCTAATAAAACTGTGGAACTGGGACACGGCATTCCCAGCAGACAGGTCTTTTTTTTTTTTTTTTACAGATTACTAGATTAAAATAAAAGAGATTTGGAGCCTGTATCATCAAATATTACTTTTTTAAAATCCATTTATGGTTTTATGACCAGCAGACAATGATATACTGGAAATTACTCTGAATCAATCATTTCGAGCAAGTAGTTGGGGTTACCAATGTCCCAGTGCAATATAACAACAGTGTGCTAATCCAGAGATTTACCGGCTTCCAATTAAAGCCCAGCGTTGCCACAGTCGGAGGATTTGTACGGCTTTTAACTCTACAAACCCCGTCTGAATTCAGATTATGAGCCCCCGTGTGTTTGTGAGTGAATGGGTGTAGGTGTGGAACTGCAGAAGAGACAAAAAGAAAAGGTTTTATGTATGTAATTAGAGGAGAAAAAGTAAAGTATACAATCTCAATGTCATAAAAGTAAAAACTTTTCATTTTGAATGGATTATAAAATGATTTGGGTTTTTTTATTTGAAACGACACTGCCCTCTGTTTTCATTTTCTAAATTTGTAAGCACTAAAATTATCGCATTATCCGGATCTGCATCTGTGAAAAAAAATGTCGTAAAGTGTAAAAAATACATGAGTCTCATCTATCAGTTTTATTTAGTCTGTTACTTTTGTTTTGCTGGATTATTAGTATTTGGCTGTACTTTTTACAGTTTATAAAAATATATGCTATGCTTTTTTGTTCCACTTTATATCTGCACTTTATTAAAGTTATCAGGTGAGTTAGAAAGTTTTTATATACATATCCATCTATCTATCTATCTTTGCAAGTCTTCATGGTTTATTCGTGAAAGTTATCGTGAGTGTGTAGACAGTGCCCTCTGTGGCCACTGATGATACAGCATATATTTTTGATAAATAAGTCGCTCCTAAATATATGCCAGAGGACGAGCAGAAGTTTCACCAAAAAAGTGTGACCTGTAGGAAAATATCGTAGATGAGATTTGTCCAGTAGGGGGAGGTAATGCAGTTCAATGAATGTCAACCCAAAAAAATACGAAATGAGTGTTGAAAGGAGAGCACAGTGCGTTAACAGCAGCCTCTGTAGGACAGGTATGAGGTACTACATAATATGTTACATATGAAAACAGTGTCAGATGTTGGAACACAACTTAAATATTGTTGATATATGAACACGTGTTATGCAGACTGCTGAGTGTGGCGTGTCATTTACCCAGCAGCAGGTTGACCAGGACTTCCTGTCCAGCCAGAGTGTTACTCCTAGTCAGACACACAATGGTGCCAATGATCCACGTGATCCCATGCCCGGTGAGCGCCAGCAAGGTGATCATGGAGCGGCAGCCTCCCCACGAGGAGGACGTGTATGCACACACACCCATGCGCTTCGACAGGCAGATGTCGATGGCCAGGAGAGAGTTCATGGCGATCCCCTTGAATGAGGGGTTCAGCTGCATGCAGTCCTCCTCGGGCATCCTGTTGGGCTCCCTCTTGTCCTTGCTGCCACTGTCCGCAGGTTCTTCACTCTGCTGGCCCGTCTGCTGCTTGTTCTGAGCCGGTTTCCTGCTGCAGCCCCGGCTCACCGAGGGGCCACAGTTGCGGATGGGAGGCTGGTTCAGGGACATGAACTCAGGTCGGCTCAGAACGCCGTTTCTCTCCCGAGTTCTGGATCTCACGTTGTAGGTGGATGGCATGTCTGGATCGGGTCAAGTTCGCCTCTCTGTGGATGCAGTGTCTATCTCCGGAAGAAAATCCAAGTGGTGCGGGTCCACCAAGGCAGTGAAATGCCCCAGAATAACCCCCCACCCCACCCCACCCCACACACACTCCTCTCCCACCCGGAGGCTTTAATGGATATATTTAGAGTCACTGGAATGTGCAGTGACCGAGCTGTTTATACCAGGCAGGCAATAACCTCCAGTGAAACTCGATATATGACATGGAGAAAAATAACAACATGCGAATATTACGCCACAACACCGTACAGCTACAGAGCAGGCCACAGGCTAAAGAAGGAGCCGTTAGAAACACACGGTGCTGCCATCTCACCAGGCGACAGCTGAAGAAAGGGCTACGGAAAAAAAGAGCATTCTTCTAAAATCCTCCTCTTCCCGCTGCTGCTGCTGCTTTCACAAACAGTGGTAGTGACGAGAGGAGACGCTGTGCCGAACCAAAGATGGTAAAACTCAACGACACAGAGTCAGAACCAAGAAGAAACAACCAAGACTGTGTAGCGCAGCTTGAGAAACGTTTGTTTTTTTTCTGTGCGCATTTTACGTAGTTTACGTATAATCCTGATTCAGCGTCTACGCTACGCTCTGCTGTGGAGTGGAGTTCTCCAAGGTGCTTAAACAGAAGGAAGAACAGGGACAAAAATAATACGACTTTTTTTTTTAATATAACAAACGTTTGTTGTATAAACAAAATCGCACCAACGTTTATTTAACGTAACGTTTGTTTCTAATTAAAAAACAGAAAATAATCATTACATTTTCAAAGTTAAAAAAACTAGCCCAAGGCTAAGCTAAAATATCATGATAAAACTGTTTTCAAAGATGTTAGAGTGGCCACCAAAACCAGACACACTTGAAATTAAAACAACAGTATTACAACTTTTTGACTTTTATAAGAACATGGTCTCGTTTTATTCACACATGACTATCAGTGGTACGGTGTTATTTACCAATACAGCACAACATCTTGCAAAATATTGACGGACATATTCGACACGTCTCTCTCGACATGTTTACGTTAACGAAACTGGAAACCTTATGAAATTATGACATCTGTCTTAAGACTTTTTGACTAATCCTTATACTAACCCTCCTGCTATGATAACTAACTGGTAACTACCACTGTTGTATTCGTTGTTTTTCGTCCCCACAGTTTGTCTTAGGTTAATTCTGAATTTACAGTGTTGTTTTCTCATTGGTCTGCCGCGCCCTACACAAACCTGCCGTTGCCTCTATTTCCCAGCATGCCCGCAGCTCCGACCGGAAGTGTCGTATCGGTGATACTTATAGCGCTGCTCTCCGGGCTGCTGAAATAGACCAATGCGTCTCGGGGTGAACCTGCCGTGGCTGCGGCGATGGGACCAGCTCGGAGAAATGTCAGACTGTGCAGGAATTTAGCCTGAACTCCATCCAGTCTCACAGGGCGGGACGGTGTCGCACGGCTGCCGCGGACTATGTGACGTTAGGCGTCGGTCTCGCCCCGAGGCGTCATGCTTTTATTTCATCCAACATTGAAGAATGGATCCGGCGAAGCGCAGGGCGCTGAAGTTGAGACGGCGGTGTGCTCTGGATGTTGCGGCGGCAGTGGAAATGCTGCCTCTCTGTGTGGGACGGTGAAATAAATAATGAGCAGCCAGAAGGTTGGGAGATAAAAGGGAATAATACCTGAGTGACAGAAGAAGTGTGTGAGGCTGAACACACTGGAGACACTTTGTGCTGAACTGTTGTAGAGGTACACTTGTGTTTTTTGTTTTGTTTTGCTGCATGCTTTTAAATACTGATCACAATAAACTGAGTTGGACAACACAAGTCTTTATCCAAAATCTTAAAAATAGACCAAATATATTTTTCTTATAAGAAAGGGATGTATTTATATAAATCTCATCTGAGCTGACATTTGTGGATAATAAATGTCCTGCTTATATACACATATATATTTGTTTCAGTTTATTTACAGATGACAGATGGATACAGAGTTTTTAATCATGAAGAGATGAGATGATATTCCAGGTCAGGGATTAAGCCATGATATAATAATTACACGAAGAGAAACGTGACGCCACAATGTAACGTTAGGAGTTTTAAAAATTTAATTATTTACATCTAGCTGAACCGTTTACGCACGCGTGCTCCTTCCGTTGGATGTGACCAGTAGCTAGAGGGCACTTTTTTTATTTATTTTTTGATCGATTATTAATTGTTTTATTTGTAGTTGATAACAAGACAGTGACTGTAGAAGGAATAATGTTTATTTTTCTTCGTTGGGTTTTACGCGCCTCAAAGTAAACCTTACACGAAATATTCAACTTTTTTTGCTATGTTGGATCCGTGATGCACGACTCAATGTTAAAATCCAAATTTAATTCCGATGAGTATTTTTGTGTTGACGTACATCCATCTGTTGTGGTTCTCCGTGCGTCTCTCCTCCTCCAGACCTCCCGCCGCTCTTGTGGATTGTGTTGCTGTTTAATGCGATGGGCTGCATCCAGAGTATCAGGTGTAAGCCCAAGAGTTTCCGAGACAGTGTCATCGTCCTGGAGGTGAACACCTCCATCGATTCCAACCCCACCAGCATCGACGAGTCCAACGGCGTGGTGCTCCGCTACCGGACGCCGCACTTCCGCGCTCATGCCCAAGTCCTGGTGCCGCCGGTGCCCTGCCAGGAGACGTGGACCATCGGCTGGATCCAAGCCTGCAACCACATGGAGTTCTTCAATACTTATGGAAACAAGGGGATGTGAGTAGCACAGGTTATTTGGCTTAGACCACACACAGATGACTCTAATGTAAGGAAAGACATGACAAACAACAAGTGGTTCATGTTGGTATTTAAATACCTGGTTAACCAGTTCAGCACATTTAAAACATCAATTAAAGCTTGGAATCATTTATTGACATTTAAAAAACAAAGGAAAAGAACAATATTGACTTTTTATTGGGTTTTAGTAACAAATTAATTTCATTGGTTGTATTAACACTTTTATCACAACATGGCCAATACTGATCATGGTGACATTAAAGCATCAACTTAAATGACTATTTTACCAGGCTTAAAAGAAAGGCTGATTCTTGTTCCTGTTTTTGAGGTGCAGAATTGTGAAATATCTATGTCAACTGTTTGAACAGTGCAATCTCAACATTACACGTTGACATGTGTTTTCACGGAACTATGACAAATAGACTTGTGGTCACACAGGAAAGTGTGCTTTGAAAGTGTGCAACTATGAGTTATCGATGAGACAAAAAGCAACAAATGTCGTTTTTTTTTTAATTTGTGAAGACACCGAGTGTTGGTTAACAAATCTTTGGAAGAAGCGATCATTTATCCAATCACTGAGCTTAATTAAACTCTATTGCATTAGAGAAAACTGGCAAAGCAACTCAGGGACATGAACGATTAACAGAAACGATCCTCTAACAAAGCCTTCAGCTCAGAACTGCAGTTAGTGGGTGTATTTAAGATCAGTTAGTGTGTGTATTTAAGACGTTCTCTTTTTTTCTTCTTCTTCTTCCTGGCTAGAAAAAAAAGGGCATCCCAGGATGTGAAACCACCAGCTGACGTTCAACTATGTTTTATCTATAGACATGGTAGTAGAGGATATTTGAGTGCTGCTTGTCTAAGATTAGAGCCTGCAGCGCCCCCACCCCATCACCACCCCACATGTGTGTATGTGTGTCAACTGGAAAAAACAAAAGGCGAGAAAGTGTTGGAGCCTTTCTGTTTGACCACTTTTAACTCATTTTTGTATTAATTTAATTTTAGGTTTGTTTCTACCCCCCAATAGAGGAGTATTTATGTATTTAATATAACATTTCTACCAACATTAAAAAGGAAAAATATATGTAGGCACTGCAGGGGGCGCTTTAATTTTTAAAAAGTGAATTTCCATGACCATGTGTTAAGAGTACTAGTTTACAATAAAAATAACATCTAATTGTAATTATTTGGCCAAATGTTTTCCTACAAGAACAAGCAACACTCTCCCCAGCATTTTTATGGTAGCATTTTTAGCATTTAAATGGTAGATATTTTGCAACATATTGTGCATAACAGAAAATGCTGTATATCACCAAAACACCCTTCAGTGCCCTGTTAAAAATAACTAGTTTTTCGTATGCCTTTTGTACATTTATTTATTAATTTATTGTTTTAAATGAAACCAAATATTCCTCGCAACTTCTTGAAACACCATGGTGTCATCCGCAAACATAGTTAGTTTAGCATTAAAGTGCTATTACAACTAACATCACCCTATAGGAGTTGAAGCCAAGAAACATATATATTATATATATTTCATTAATTTGTTCAAAATGAACACCAGTGATTTTTAACCCTGACATTCGCTGCTATCACTCACTCACAAGCAAGAAGGCAGAGTATCAGAGTAACCAACATAGATATACGAGATGCAGTATACTGGAGTGTATACTATATATATAAGATGCGACCGTGTAGCGTATTTGGAATGAACCCAATACCTGTCTCTCTGTGTGCAGTTCTGCACGGTACGTAGTCTAAAAAGTAAAGTATCATATTCCTCTTAAGAGCTCTCCGATATTTTCTCTCTGGGAAAAAGAAAAATATTGACAAAGATTGCAGAGTTTTTTAAGGCTGCTTATTCATATTTTATGATACAAAAGACCCGACAGATACGTCGTTTTAGTAACGCAGCCTCTTCTAATGTAATGCAGGATTTATTTTTGACATATAGAAGTGTGGTCCTGAACTTTGAGTGAGATGTCCCTGGTCGTGGAAGCTTCTCACGCTATGTTTAAAGCATCACTATTGTCATATACGTACATAGCTGTGTAGGTCTGGTCGGACTGTGTGTATTTATAAACGGACCCTCACACATGCTGATATACACGAACTGATGTGTGTTGTAAATAGATTAGGTCGGCTCTGAAAATGAAGACGTTCTAAAATTAGACAGTGGGACATGTGCTTTAAGACCCTGATGTGAAGAGAACAGCAGATACGGCTACAAGGCAACTTCAAATGATGCTTACGCTGTTGGTGAACTTTAATGCTGCCAGTCGCCCATAAGTAGTTATAGGTTGTAGGTTCTCAGTCTTTAAGTTTAAATTTGACAATCTGAACATGTTTCCTGGGAAGAGTAAAAAACCAGCCTTGGATCGTAACAGTAAAAGCAGACCAAAGGTCGTACTGTCTGACATCACACAGCTGTGAATATTTATAATTACACAACATAAGCTGATGAGCATTTCCAAATTTTCTTCTGTTCTACATCCGTCCAACAACACAATAACAATAACAAATATATATATACACATATATATTTACATATATAATATATATTTAAAAAATATTATATATATATAAATATAAATACACTATATATATTTTTGGGTCCAAAGACAAACCATCTTTCTGTCTGTTATAAAATATACAGATAGATGGTTTTTAATAAAAAATATACCTATCTATCTATATATTATTACATATTTAAATAAAATATATATATTCATATATATCTTGGTTCAAACCTCTGAATCTCTGGTTCAAAAGTCACTCGAGAACAACCACCACAAACCACCTTTGTTAGGGCAGTTATTCCACTGAGCATCTTTGGATGACCACCTTTTCATTAATGTTAAAATCTTTTCACTTTTTTGTAGAAAAACCTTTTTTTAAAAATCAAAGCTCAACCATTTAATATCAGCCATTTATTTTATGTTTCACCACCACCATTAAGGTTTTAGTGTGTGTGTGAGAGAGACTTTTTGTGTCAGGATGTCACAACGGAAACTTGCTGCTCGGCTGCTTCAGTCACATGAACCCAGTTTCGACACCAACAGAGTCATTATGGTCTGAGGCTGTTGTTCAACGTTTGTCTGCCGCAAAAAACACATTTTTTCCTTGCAGGATGTGTTGACACACCATCAGTTAATTTGGTGTGAATTGTAGCTGTGTTAGTTGAGGCAGAAACATCTGAAACTACAGAGTTTCAGCTGTTAAAAAAAGGGAAGCAGTGTGAGGTCTGCTTTGGTAGGTAGAAGTAGAGTCTGTGTATATACTGTTCCTATCATCATCCATCCATCATCCATCAACTTATCCATCTATCCATCCATCCATCCATCCATC